GTGTTTGGCAGGCAATCGTTCACAGATGGAAGCTCCGTGATATTCATTGCTAGCACGGCTGTCGTCTCATCGAGCACGTTTCTACAGCTAGCAGCACTAACGTTACAATGGCGCTGGTACCGGACCACGGCTGGGCTTGGGCCATGTTGCTAGGTGCCCACGTCAGCGCCATGCTCAGCAACGGTTACCTGCTTGCGCTCGGTGTGTTCTACATCGAATGGAAAGAAGTTTTTGACTTGTCCGCCACCGATGCAAGTTGGCTTTTGAGCATGCCCATGGTGGTTGCCAGCCCTTTGTGTAAGTTGGACATAGGTTTGGTAAGAGTATGGACGAGGAAAACATGAGGTGGCAGTGACGTAGATTTGAAAAGCAGGGGGGCACACTATGACTTCATAACATTAATCTATCATGTGTAATGTGTATTTAGCGGAATGCCATGTTTATGACTTTTTAGTTTTTGAATGATATTGAATGCATTTTAGTAAGCCTACTAGAAAATTCAAAAATTCTTCACAATCCACTTTATTTTTTTGCAAACCACAAAAAGCGGGGGGGGGGGTGATTCAATAGCCCACCCCCTTCAAATAGTGCGGGGGAATTTATACCTTCCATCCCCCGGGATTTACGCCCACGTAAGTGAGGTGGTGTATTCATTTCTCTGTTTCCAGCTCTCCCCGCATTGCCTGTGTCGATAGGCAGTAGTGGCCAGCTGCGCGGCAGACTGTTTCTTCTTTTCTAGTTTTTCGACGGTTCAAACATTTTCCAGCAGTGGATGGTGGCTACTTATGCGCGGCCATTGGAGCGAAAAAGACAAAACGGAAATTATGAATAAAACCAAGAAACATAAATTTACGTTCACAAATATAATACCAACGAAAAATATAAGCACTTACTATAAATATAAGTACAAACAAAAAGTACAAAAGACAGGATGAGAAAAGGTATGAGAGAAATGACAAAATAATATAGAAACAAACGACACATGTAAATATAAATGGCCGTTTAAATGAATTTAAAATCAAAATTCTGTGAGAAACAAGTCGTCGGTCGTACCACGATCTGACTTATCTCAGGTTTTTTTTACATTTCGAGAAAAACGCGCTTAAAGGGGGGGGGTCGTTTTGGACCTTTATTTCTCCCACTATGCTATCTTTTATTGCCACAGATTTCGTAGTTTATAAAATTGGATAGTTAAATTACGATATGAGATATTTTGTTGGGAAAAATCTTAAAGTCAAGGTTAAAATGAGGCGCGAAAACCATGTCAATTTGTTCAATTTTCAATGTCAGATTTTATGAGCGCAAACAGCGACCTATACAGATTGTTCACTTTGGGGAACGAAACATTTTGATGTCTCGGTGGCCGATAGTGACCTATAGGCTATTGTTTGCACATAAGCGTTTTTGTTGATATGTTTCGACTAAGAAGGTCTTAGAGTAAAACTTCGCAAAAGCTGAAGGAAACTAGAAGGGGATTTCCCATCAAAGGGGTAAGTAGAAACCCATAAAACCGATAAAATGTATTTAGTAACTCTTCCAAATTCTCAAAATAATTAAATGTAAAGGTTTATTTGTGTTCCACTGCCAATTAGTTAAAAATCGAGAAACAAGAACAATATGCAAAAGAGTTGTTTTATTTGTGCAATAAAAAGAAACAAATCAAAGTTACACTGAGATAGAACTATTAATGTCTGTTAATATTCTTGTAAGTCACGAACACTTATTTTTCTGTTATTCAAAATGTATCTTCTCATCATTCAAACTTATTTTTCCATATATACCCAGGGTCAGTTTTCTGAAGATAGGCCTACTTGAACGCCTCCATTAAAAAGAATTAACAATAATATAGGGCCTGTCAATTGCATACATCTTTTGAAGAATAATGGTGTTTGATGTTTGATAATGACGGGATGGTTTGAATGATGATATACAACGCTTTGATATATATTAAAGGCGCTTTATAAATACTTATATTATTTATTATATTATAAAAATATCCACTGCTTTTCCACTGTGACATGCACGACCAGATATGTACAGGGAGGTTATTTCACAGACGTGGGGCAGCTGCACAGAATGATCTGTCTTCCCAGGACCTACGAGATCTTGGTACAGCCAAAAGATGTTGGCTAGTTGGTCAAAGACCAAGGCAATAATTTGGATGGATATACGGAGCCATGAGTGTGGACAAATATAAAGGAGAAATTTGATGTAATGAACGATATGTTATGAGAAGGTTGTACATTACCCTGAATTCCATAGGGATCCAGTGGAGATGTTGAAGAATAAGTGTTATGTGAGCACAACGTCTAGTCTCGGTCGCCGCTGAATAACATTAGCAAAGGAAGTAAACCAAATATCAGAAGTGTCTCTTAATCATTTTTAGAGCCATCGGTGACTTTTAAATGACATTACCAAAGGAAGTAAACCGAATATCAGAGTTGTCTCTTAATCATTTTTAGGGTCATCAGTGACTTTTAAATGACATTAGCAAAGGAAGTAAACCGAATATCAGAGTTGTCTCTTAATCATTTTTAGGGTCATCAGTGACTTTTAAATGACATTAGCAAAGGAAGTAAACCAAATATCAGAGTTGTCTCTTAATCATTTTAGGGTCATCGGTGACTTTTTAATGACATTAGCAAAAGAAATAAACCAAATATCAGAGTTGTCTCATGATCACTTTAAAGGACATCAGTGACTTTTAAATGACGTTAGCGAAGTATGAATTGAGTAACAGCTGGAGAACAGCTCCTTATACAACGATGCGGATTACCAGTGCTGTAATGCATCAAAATCCGAGGGGAAATGCACACAACAGCAGTGCTTTCAGTAAAAAATAAAATGTTGGGCTTAGAGAGAGTTTTACAAATCCACTGTTTTTTTTAGCCTCAGCGATTTCCTCTGAAATCCTGAAGCAAAATACTGCAGGTGAGTCAATGCAGTAATTAATCAACAGCTTTCCGTTAATTCCAATTGACATGAAAATTTTCGATTGATTTTTTACATAAAATATAGTCGACGAAAGAATCAATCAGAGTGTCTTTCATTTCTTGTGTCTTTTTTTTACAGTTTGTAACAAATAATTCTTTAGGTTTTTGGATGCTTTGTGATATTGACCAGAAACATGGCAAATGACTGTTGCTTGTTACAATTCATTGCATTTAGCTTCTTTTTAACTGTGTAGACTTTAAGATTTTATCTGGCTGGTTTACTTAATCAACACTTACAAAATAGAAACACAAAGCACAAAATATCATGAACCAAACGGATAAAATGCTTATTTGATCTGAGCTGGGCAGCCTGAAACGAAATTATCGAATCCCACAAATGTGGAGGATTAAATTGTAACTGCCCCCTTATTCTTCACCTCAGTTGGTTCTCGGCTTTCAGGTATGTCTATTTGTACAATATTTAAGGTACCAGTTTAGCCTTGCGGTCCCTATAAAAACGCGCGGCAGCCATGACTTGCCCTCTTTTCCCGCCTGGTAGTCGACCTGAGCAGACCAGTATTCCCGAGAACAGTTGTGCGTAGGCCTAAGTGCGGGAAATTAAAAAGCCCTGCACTCGAGTTTGAGTTGGCATTGCAATGGAAATAAATGAGACATAAATCACCGTACTGATCGCTCATCACACAGCCACAATGGAAATTAGTTCATTTTTATGATGGTCCGTTTTGAAACTTGAAAGGGTCAGTAATTAATACTCGTAATTTCATAACGTTGCTGTGCCACAGCTTCGCTGTAATTTTGATAGGTGAAGCGCCGTTGTGGAGGCATATCCTTTTGTGAATAAAGAAGTGTGGCCCTGTATCTGCACTGCGGGCCAGGCAGTAAACTGCTACCAACTTCACGGATTGGTGTCAGCGGTCGTCTAAGGCTAGACCGCTCGCTGACACAGGTTAGCCTGACCGTGGGTAGCAGACTTCAAAAGACGAGGCTGCCACAGTATTGTTCCCCTGATAGACTATACAAATGCGCCTCGTTTGGGTTTTACTCGAATCTCAGCATAAAAGACAAGGAATATACATGTGTTCAACCATCTACAGAAACTCGGTTGAAATAAAGGTTCAATGTTCAGCCACCGAATAACACCAAACAGCGCTTAAGACTGGTTCCGAATGACTTAACTTCAAATGAGATCAATAGGTATCGTGGTATAGATACCAGACTGAATAAGTTACTTTAATCTACACATTTCACGAAGTGACCTAACTCGAAGTGTCGAGTTGAAATTTTCAGAAAATAAATATTTCATCATGCATAACAAGAACAAGCTAACTGGTTCACGTGTTTCCTCCATGCTTATGAATATGATGATCTTCGTGTAATTTTAACTTAGGACTTGCCCTACAGCAGATTTAATTGTGGAATATTTTGTACTATGCAACGCACGTGAAGAACACAAAACATTGAGCCTTGAAGCACTCGTCGCACAGATTTGCTTCTATGGTGCGTAGCAAGCACTTACTGGTCTCTGGCTCACTACATACCAGGCATGCCAGACGGCGGTAATTTGCCAGAGCTGTAGACCGGGCAGTTCAAACTCCTTTTGTGTCCTTCCTCCACGGTAAGAACAAACTCTTGCAGATAATGTTCGTGTCTGTTACCGAGGAAATCGTGAATACATGACACGTATAAGCCCAAAATTCAATGAATTCCGAGTATTAGCTTCTGGCATATCAAACGCTTGTCCGCTTTTGACACCTTATATGTGCATATTCTCAGCAGCCTCTGAAACAATATTGTTGGCAGGAACAACATTCAACAGGAATGGCCAAGATTTCTATCGGATTTTTCTTAGAATTCTTTAAAATATCTAGTTTCTTTCAAATAAACTGAAACACGGGGAGGATATGTTGATCTATGATGCTGGAGTGTGCAAAAATTGTGGAGAACATTCCTTTTTATTTTGCAGTACTACCGGGGGTAACACTGACGGGGGCCTACACGGAAATCATATTTTCATATGTTGGCCTACATTCTGTTACATATACGGGAGTGGGTGTCTACTTCGGTGCTAGTAGGGGGCGCCAGATGTCGCTGAGCTTTAAACCGATGTCTTGGGGTACGGTGTTGTGCCGGAGAATCTCGATGGCTTCTTGAATTCTTCTCGCGAGAGCTAGTTCTGGATGGGGGTTATGAGTTCTGCCTTGTCCCATGGTCCCATTCGATGCGGTGGTCCGTGGAGTGTGCATGTTTGATGATGGACAGTAATCGAATGCGTGCACTGAAATAATTGAATGTTTTCGACAAAAAAAATCGAAGGTCGTCGCGGTCTTGCATAGATAGCGTTGGTTTGTGCACATACTCTAGACCCAGTAAAATGGCTGCCACTGTACTTCCGGTAACTGCAACGACGTCCATATCACGAATGCTGCATTGTGGGTCAATATTTTATTACACGGTATACGTTCGTACCCACTACCTCCTCGTGGGACTTCAGCTCGCTAGCCCGGGGCCGCTGGATGATACTATTTGAAAATTGCATTTGAAAGGAGGTGGGCACCTCGATTGACCCATGATCGAACACACGCACGATGCAGTCTCTGAATTTAGTACATTGCCCGCTGTACGAAGTTGCCAGTGGGTTGCCAACGTAGGTCTACAAGCTTAAACCAAATACGCATCCCGTTCATAAACAATGAAACTGGCAAACAGGTGCAGACCGAGCGAAAACCTAAGGAAAGGCGCCTTTACTTGATGCTGAGACCCGATCGGTATGTTAATTACTAAGGCTTTCTACAGAGTGCCCCATGCATAGAAATGACGTACGCAGTGAGGACCTCGGTCCGTTTTTGACGTGCTACATGACAAAACCGCTGATGTGAGGCCCGTGCAGTCAGGTTTATACATTGGCTGCTTGCTCATTATTTTCAGTCAACCTGCTGTTGATGTCATATAAACCGCCCCACAGTGTTCGATTTTTGTTACTGCGCTGATATATCCGTAGTGGACCCTAATTTCAGCAGCCAAACAGAGGGATCATTCCACAGGGCATGCCCGAAGGAGGTCTCCCTGTAGTAGTACTTTAAGTTTTAACTAGGGCCACATGCCTGGAGGGCATCCAAGGTGCACACATCAAGGGGGAAACAAGAGCTGCAGCTACATAGCTATATAAAGTCCACGGAGATAATTCCCACGTTTTCAAATGGGGGGGGGTCACGCGGGGTCACTAGGGGGGAATGCCCTAGTGTCCGCCTCCCTGTAGTTACGCCGATGCTCTGAAGAACATAGAACTGCCTTGCACGATGGCTACCATGCAACGCCTCTATATGGTTATATATGCAGCTGCTCGTGGTATAATATAATACATGTATTTACGCCTTCCTTCAGGTTTCTTTATCGGCATTTTAGCGTCTTGTGTCGGCATACGCCCTGTATCTATGCTCGGAGCTGCAGTGACTGGTCTTGGAACTATACTGGGGTCGGTATCCTCCAATATTGACCAGCTTTACATTTGTAATGGGCTGACCGGTAAGTCGACTTGAAATCTCTCCAGAGGAGTCGCAGACTTTGATGTTCTGTGGATAATAGTGATAGTTTCCCTTTTCTCTGTTTTGATTTGAGTTCAATTTAAACTCCTTCGTAACAGGGGTCAGTATTTTTGATGTGTTTGCTTGCCTTCGTCTTTTTTCAGGTGTTGGCACTGTGATGACAGTGTCACCAGGCATGATTATGATCTCGCACTCGTTCAAGAAACGCTATGTCTTTGCCAACGGACTAGCTGTGCTAGGGCTGAACGTGGGCCAGATGGTTTTCCCACCTTTGATTCGTCTTCTAATCGTAAGCTACGGTTGGAGAGGCGCCATGTTTATCATCGGGGCTTTGCAGCTGAACGGGGTCGCGGCTTGCGCCCTGTTTCGGCCGATGAAGTCGATCCTCAAGGATGTACCACGAGACGACGAAAGACGAAGACCCTGTATCAAGCGAAACAAGTGCGGAGACGGCACACTTCGGCAACATGTGAAATACCTCTCCATTTTCAGCAATATCAGGGCAATGTTGGTTCTGGTGGCCGTCTGTGCTTACTCGATGGCTTTGATAGTAAACCTCTTCCATCTACCGGAGCGGTCCAAGGAAGCCGGGTGGTCCCATGACCTAAGCGCAATGCTGGTCTTCGTCTACGGGCTAATATCGGCGGTCACCCGCTCCACCCACGGCTGGCTCGTGGACAGAAACTACATCGGCCCCTTCAAGCTCCAGCTGATCGTGATTCTCGGGGCGACTCTAATCTCCTTCCTGAACCCAGTCTCGGACAGCTACACATTCCTGGTGTTCTACACGCTAGTCCTTGGAGCCTTCCTCGGGGTTTCCTCGCCTCTCCTTATCGTGAACATGAAGAATGTCGCCAGCCCGGCGCAAGTGCCTTCCGCCATATGCTTGACTTGGGCGTCGTTTTATCTGTTCAGTGGCGTCGGATCAGTTCTCGCTGGTGAGTACAAGTTTCTCCCTCCCTCCCCCGGAAAAAAGGGGAAAGGGGAGTGAAGAAAAGAAAGTGCTAAAAAAAAAAACCAGAAAATGAAAGGGATGATAATCACTTTATATTTTCTTGAAAAATACCTCGGAATTTACCCCTTTGGCCATTCGTTGTTTTATTGCTTTGTCGCTGCTGAGTGCTTTAAGTTGCTTCCGATCCCCCATAACCCCCCATCATTCAGAAATTGTGTAAAAGGTCGCATAGTTTTGTTACTTGAGCGCAGTTTTCCAATTAAGAGTTCACACTTTTATTTCAGAATGAAAGAAAGACTCTGTTAAACCTTGAAAAAGCTACAATTGAAAAAAATAACTTGCACACCAGAAATCGAGTCACAACTGTCTGTGCCGGATGGCAACTCACCGTGTTTGTTTTTTCAACGGCAACACTAGCACTCGAACACACTACTGTGTGTATTTGTAAGAGACACGCTCACAGACTCTGCGGTTGCTTTCTAGGTACAATCTATGACGCCACTGGGAACTACCTAGCCCCGTTCTTGACGAGTGGGACCCTGTTTCTGTTGGCATTCTTGCTGTTCGCGGTAGTCACCGTAATGAAATCCAGACAAGACAAACGCCTTAAACTACATGTAGACACCACTAGCACCGCAGTGTATCATGTAGCGACGGAAGACATCGGTCAAGATACTGCTTGAGGGCGCCGTTCCTATCCTTGTTTGCTTTCCAAGAACTCAAACGTACGCACTTGTCTGCGTTCAAGGGGGAAAAGATGCAGAAGTGTAGGCCTATTCAGTTTTATGATCTATGATCAATCGATTGTAACCTTTTTTTCACTGTAATCTATTTCCTTGTGGTAAATTTACTGTAGGTATGTTCCTGTGAATTGTCAACACACTGACAGCAAAGTTACTACAAGAAATAGATTACAGTAAAAAAAAGAGATTACAATCGATTAAAAAGGCACTAACAGCTGGAACAAATCCCTCAAGAAGGACCCATAACATAGGACAAAACCAAACAATACATTTACACATTTGTTATTCTGTTTTCCATGTCAGCGATAGATCATAAAACTGAGTACACTCTCATTTCCTGCATGGTAGTCTTTGTTTTGTATTAATTTGTTGTAAATTTCCCCGTTGGTATGCTTCTGAACTATTGAATGGATTTTGTTGCTGGTAGTTAGACTGATCTAACTGTATCCACTCTGCTGTGACGCTCGAAGGTACGCAACATCCGAAAATAATTGTTGCCACCAACCTTTCCACAGCGGACGGCGCTGCACATGATAGTTTGAACAGACCCAAGAATCCACAGGGTTCGATTGTGTGGTTTGAGTTATTATTAGCCAATGACTTCATCTTTGTTTTGGTCATCCTGATGAAGGAACACGTTAAAAATGCTGTTTTTACTCAAAGTCCATAGATTTTGATTTGAGTTTAGCATTTGATACAGTTGACCGAAACATGACATTGGTATTTTCCACTTTTGCTATTCCAAAGTATGGTTAATGTGAGCAATTACCTTCACATGTCATATGCATGGTTTTCCACAAGATTCATTCTTTGGATTCTTATTAATTCCTAATCCATGAAAGTAAATCATACATTTGTTCGTGCGGCGGATGATACTTGGATGCATTTTATTTTAAGGCCTGCACCTTAGATTTTGCCGTGAAAGGAGTCCGTATCGAGCGGTTCAATCATTGTCCATTTTTTGTTTTATACAAAAGTTGGATGATTTCCCTCCGGTCCTCTTCCCAATCAGAATTTGTCGCATTTAGGCACATCTGTCAACTGCAATGGACTTCCTTGCGTATCCCAGCAAATGAGCACACACCATCTAGGTAGGCCTACCAGAGAGAAAAATCCAATCAAAATAAAAGGTCCTAGTTAATGAATTAATTATTGTAGTAGTTGCCCAAGGGCAGATCCGGGCAACTGCGTTCATTATTGAAGAGCAATCAGGTGATATTTGGTCTATTTTATTTCCCTCCTTTCAAAGGCGTGTAAAGGGAATTGAAATGTAGCACTGGCATTAATACTGTAAAAGGTTCCATAGAAGTTCCAATACTTTCGCCACCCAAACAATAATTGTTTACCCCATTCCGTAAAATGATTTAGATCCGCCTTTGTCGTGTCCAAGCAGGCTAAGCAGATTAATTAGCCCTGAAGCTAATGTGATCAAGTTGTCATGCCAACGCATTCTTTAAAAGAAATTATCCGGTGTTTTCATCGATCAAACCTTGGCAGTCTAGTAGTGCATGTTCTGTGTTCTTAATAAAATGGCGGTGGGGAGGACTTTGCTGTTCCTCTCGATGGTGTCTGCATTGGTATCCCCATTGATCTCTCCCGTGTCCACATCCTACACCAAGCCCTGCTTGCCAGGGTGGGTCCTTTTCAACGACCACTGCTACCGAATCACACCGGAGAAGCTGACATTCAACGCTGCCGAGGCCTTCTGCCAAGGGTTCGCTAATGGCAACGGGAGAGGTCACTTGGCGTCGGTACACGATGACAGAGAAAACGATTTCATCGCCCAGTTGGCTTCATTGACCGGGATAGGGGGACGACATGGATGGGTCTGGATTGGTTTGAACGATGCACAGAAACCAGGTTAGTAACGAATGTATACTCAAGATACCGCGGGGGGGAGTTCGATGGCAAAAATACACTTTGAGAGTCGTTGGAGAGAGATCTAAGGAAGACACAGTCCACGATGCTCAGAGACAAATGAGATGCATACATGTTGTATATTATTTGTTTTCTGATGTGCTTGACGTGGATTTGGCTTTGAAAGAAAGAATATGAACTGAAAGTTTTGGTTTTGTTCCATTTTACAGGTGAATTTGTGTGGACAGACGGTACTGCCGGTTCTTATCGCAACTGGTCACCCGGCGAACCGACTGCTTACGGTGAGGACTACGTTGCCATACGACCAATGGACGGACGGTGGAATGACGGTTCTGCAAACAAAAGGGCGGTGTGTAAAATGCCATTTGGTGATATCAGCAGCATGGCGAGTCTGGCTTGCATTAATTAAAAGATAATTTATCTCAAATCATGAACAAAATTCTCGATCCCCTCAAATTATCAGCTTTCTGCTCTAAGGCTGAAGTCATCAAATCATAAGGTTTGTTAGACACCTTTATGTCAAAGTCAATTTTAATTACAGTTTTAAACAGTGTCTAGAAATTGTTTTCTTCATTTAGTTTGTCTCATTTTTGGCCGATTTTAAGTAATTGTAAATAAATTACCTGCCCTAACCGTTACCAGTGTATGAAAGAAATTGATACACGTATATACGGTTGAGTTCAATATTAAGGTTAGTCGGGTAACGCTGGCAACCGTAATCACATGCTATTATGCATGTCTACCATGTGACCCTGAGTGTGAGCATATGACCCTTCTTATATTGTTATAACCAGATCCTTCGGACTTTACAAATTACCTTGTTAAAACAAGTACTGGTAGGCCTACCTTGTACTGTCAGCAATAGAAAACAAAGAAAAACAAAAACGTGGAGCTCAACAGTTTCCTTGCAATGAATATTACTTTGTTTTTTCAGTGCTCTTATCTGTATTCGACTGCGGTCGTGTATTTCCAATACTGGCACATTCGGTTGGAATCAACAGGAACATGCTTAATAGCATGGTGTTTGCAGATAAACTAGCCAATTACCGGTATTGCAATAATTACTTATGTATTGAAAATATGACGGCGTTGTCCATTTTCTCAAAACGGGTGTGGGGTTTCACATCAAACAGACACGAGTGCTGAATAATTCTAGCCGGGGGATGCTTCGTTGAATCGACCAAGCAAGCCAGAATGAGGATCAGACACCCCTTTATGGAGATTAATAAATCACTCTCACTTTGTCTATAACCTGTGAGGGCGGCCAGAGTTTCCAAAAATGTTACTTTTTGGTTGGCTTTCGATCTTGCCTCAAATTCGTTCAAATTGTACATTTTGTCCCATTAATTTTAAAGAGGGTTGAATTTTTCATTTATGTCTTAGTAGTACATGTATTACTATCCGGTGTTTTCATAGCTGCTTGTGAGTAATTCTTTTACATTTATACTGACGGCCAGCCGTAGTTTTAGCAGCGACTTGTTAAAAACACAAGTGTGACGTAAAAAGGACAGACCCTATGAGCCCTAAGAGAGGGCACAAAGTATCAACTCAGGCTCCTTCGGTAGGAACCGCTCCTCGCTGGACTATGAAATGCACACGTTACGGTCTCATTGCTACCAACCAAAATGAGCACTCCCGCCCGACCAATGCTCTTTTCAACCGATAAGCTTCACCGTCTGTTCGACACGGTATATTGTACGTGGTATACAGGGTTTCCCAGAAAAAAAACAAACCCTGAGGAAAGGAGTTAATATGCCCAAACCATGAGATATGATTATAATGTATAAGGATCTCCGAAAGTAAAAGCAGTATTCTTTCTAATGATACCTTGATGGTATCCTCGATGGACACCCTGTATAGGGACTGTGGCGTTGGCTTAAAGGGGATGGGCCCTGCTGGGAGATTTCTTGTAAAACATGCATCAGCACATAAACCAATATATATGACAAGAAAACACATCTGAATAATTTCAAAATGCGGGGCAATATGTTGAAAATTTTAGTTTACACGACCCTATTTCACTCCCTTCTGGGAGCAAAATTTAAACAACAGTCGTCGGGTACCGAAAGTTGTCTGAAGAAATTCCCAAGAATCGTGACGTCATAGGACGGAGTCCTTTATTCGGTTTACTGTTTACTGTTACGTAACGACATGTACATGTACGTTATGTAGAAGCGTTAGGGTGTGCAATCAGACTCAAGCGCCAATAATTCCAGCGTTAATGCTTTTTCCGATCACAGCGATAAGTTGTCATGTTTGTCTCATTCAATTGACAAAGAAAGCGACATTGAAGGAGCTGATGAGGCACAAGAAATATTGCCTTTTCAGTTCGAACATACACTCAGGAAGAGATTTAGCAACTCGGGGTTGTTGGCCACGGGCATGGTGGCGACCCTGAGGTTCGACAACAAAACACGGACTGGTCATGATCTTTTTTTTTCCTTTTTTTTGGCACTATTAAAAAATTTATCTTTCTGAAAAGACGTAATTGTCCTACCATTGGCCATTTGATATATCTGTAAAGTAGAAGTAGTTTTTCGCTACATAGTTATAAGCTAGCCTACTTCGTTAAAGTTGGTGTTCCATTAATTCCGACATTTTCTTTCGCCGTGCACTGCGACTTACTTGCTTGGCATCGACGCTTCGCGTGCGTGACGACCGTGCGACATTATTTGCACCGGAAAATAGTCCACGTACGCGCGCCAGCGCAATATAGTCCCATCTTACCTCGTAAGTGTAGTACATGTATGGGTGTACATTGTACGTGTACGTGTCAGTACTGGTACGTGTACATAAACATGCACATGAATGTATTTTGAGTCCTCGTAAATGTTTGATTGTGTGCCATCTGCAAATCTAACCCGCAAACGCTGGTGTGAAAAGTCGCTTAGGAATCCGTACAAAAACTGCTCTCCTGGGAATTGTTTTGATTGCGACAACAGCCATCGACAACACAGTTTATCGGCATTCTTTTGAAATTCACGATAGAAATTATTATTCGTGTACGACGCAATGCAAACAACATGAACGCGACGGGTGAAATTAGTTGTCCAATATAGCTCTGACCCGTGTTAAGAGAAGGGAAGAGGAAACAAGACCAAATGTGCTTGACTTGACACGTACGAGTTACCTACCCGACTACGCGCTAGAGCAGAGGCCGTTATACCCAACAAGAAATCAGACCGGGGGTTCCCCCAACATGTCCAATCCCTATACACATTCCAGACTATTGTTACTTAACACATCCCCCCAAGATGTCTGACAGGAATTCCCCAGATTCCTGTGACACAATGACTAACACAAAGCAGGGGGGGGTTCTCTCCGTCTCATACCTTGCTGCATATGTAGGCCGTGTCCGAAACGAGCTTCCAGAGCTATGCATATGGCTAGGTCTATTGTCTGCGCGTCTCCACGCATTTCCATCGGAGTGAAGACCTAGACCTAGCTCTAGACAAGAGATTCGGATGCAGCCATATTCTTGCGCGGACCCATCAACTTTCTTGCTGGAACTGGAAGGGCGAGTCCGTCCAATTACGTCACATTGATGCCAAGATTTGTCTGCTGCCCTCATCGACAGATTTCGGTAAGTTTTTGCGAAGAGCCCAGGCGAAGATTGACAAAAGCACACAGAAAACGCCAATTGTTGCTGATTTAATGACAAAAAAGAGGGGTTAATCGAACTTATTGAATATAAGATGTTTGAAAACTACCATATAACGTCAATTCAAAACTGCATGGCCCATCCCCTTTAAATTATAAATGCACGTACTTTTCTTCACTAAATGCGTACACATATACGTGCAACAGTGCACATGATCTGCTTATACCGTAGTAACAAATGCACTTCAAATAAAGTTCCTTAATTGTCATTGTACTGTGGTCGCTGCCCAAGGGCGGATGGGGCGGGGGGCAACGTGATTTATTATTTTTTTTAAAAATGAGCGAAAGGTGACATTTGGTTTATTTCCTTTTCCTCTCTTTTAAAATTGTATAGGGAGCAGTAGAATCTGCCCTTGAAGGCTACGAAAGGTTCGGTAAAAATTCCACAACTTTCGTCATCTGAACAATTTTATCTCGCCATCCCCCAAGATTGAAATGGTTCAAGACCTCCCCTTGTTATACCACGTGAATGAACATAATTTTGTCCATAAAACTGCACGATCAAGTTGCCATGCCAACTCACTCATCAAGAAACCCTATCAGGCGCTGGATCGAGAAAATCCTGACAGTTGAGCGGTGCATACATGTAGTAAAAATGGCGGTAGGGAGGGCTTTGCTGTTCCTCTTGATGGTGTCTGCATTGGTATCCCCATTGATCTCTCCCGTGTCCACATCCTACACCAAGCCCTGCTTGCCAGGGTGGGTCCTGTTCAACGACCACTGCTACCGAGTTACACCGGAGAAGCTGACATTCAACGCTGCCGAGGCCTTCTGCCAAGGGTTCGCCCATCGCAACGGGAGAGGTCACTTGGCGTCGGTACGCAACAACCAAGAAAACGGTTTCATCGTCAATCTGGCCTCATCGAGTTGGACCACAGCAACAGGCGGGGCAGTCTGGATTGGCTTGGTCAATGTTCGAGGTTAGTTAGTGTATACCAAAGATACGAGATTAAATACCTAATTTTTTGTGACAGAGAATGACAAAAGTCAACTATGCCTAGAGTTGGATGTATGCGTGTGTGTATGCATGTTGAATATTATTTATTCTTATCTTGAATTGAATAAGTCAGCTCTGAAAAGTATGTCTGTGATGTCAAAGTTGCGGTTTCTTTTATTTAAAAGGTACGTTTGTGTGGACGGACGGCACTGTCAGTTCTTATCGTAACTGGTTACCATTCGAGCCATCTCGTCATGGTGAGAATTACGTTGGCGTATACCTCACGGACGGAAAGTGGAATGACGGCTCTGTCATGAAAAGAGGCGTGTGTAAAATGAAAAGCCTTGATACCAAAAGCAGAGCGACTAAGGTTTGTTTGGCTTATTCAAAATAATGTCGTTTATCTCAAGTCATGAAAATTCTCAGTCCCTTCAAGTATCATATGGGGTACTCCTTTGACCCTACGGTTATCAGATTTAGAGGTCAGTGTTTAAGATCCAATTATCAACTGCGTACACAGTTGGGCTTTTATTGCCGAACTGTTGAGTAATTTTTCAACCAATTCACCCACAGTTGTGTAGCCAAAGATGAGTTGCCGGATTAAGTTGTCCTGCTAAACTTTTTTTACCCAACTTTGTTACAGTGTAAGTGAACTGAGACATGACCTATATATCAATTAGCTGGATTTTTGGAACGAAAATTCACCGATACTCGATGTAAGAAAACGCTACGTATGTTGTTGTGCTTCAAAGAAGTGTGAAACTTAATAATTTATGCGAGGTTCTGATATCACGGTTTTTCGTTTTTCCTTTTGTTTTGCCTCATAAATATAAGACTTCTTAACACTTACTTTTTAAAAATACGCCAGGTAGCATCATCGTCTGAGTGGCTGTTGACGCAGACCACGATTGAATTGGCAAACCATTAGACAAACATCGAATCAAAGTACCGTGAAACGCTCTTTGTTACATATCAGATTACCTTGTTATAACATGTACCTTGCAGTGGCATGAAGATGGGGAGACGCCCCCCCGTGCCCCCAATTTGAAATCTATGAACAGCCTCCGCTGCAGCTCATTGTCTTTTGGTGCCCCCTTGAAAAAAAAAGTGTGCGACCCCGGGTGCCCCCTGGACACAATAAATAGCCCTAGTTACGCCACTAGTACCTTGAATTATCAGTCACAGAAAACAAAGAAAAACAAAGACTTGGGACCTAAAACTGTCCTTGCTGTAAACACGACGCTGTATTAAGCAGTGCTCTTCTGATCAGCATGTTCGATATGTACACGAAGGCCCTACCGCTTCGCAATAGTGCTTGGAGCCGCGAGATGCACAAATGGTGTCTGTTTATTGCTAGAGAATTGAACAGAAGTAACACACCATTCAAATTAAAGACATCCTTGACTGTGGTCGTTATAATTACTCCGTAAGTACTTCGGCCGTGTACCAGCCACCATTAGGTAATACGGGTACGAGAAAAGTGTTCATATTACAAGAATCGGGTTGTAGAGACGGTTTGTGGTATTTTCTTGTGTTCCTTTCCTACTTCTGATTCTGTATGATTTGTTGTCGTTTCTTTATGTTTGAAGGTTTTCGCAGGTTTTACTCGAGTGAGATCGTCGGCAATGGATGATTATTATACTCCAGCCTCTGGGAAAAAAATAGCCAGTGCGGTACAGCACGTAGTCTGCACACCAGACCCTTGATTCCGAGTCAAGGGTCCGGTATCACCAAATGTCCACGTGACCAAAACCGGAGGAATTCCTCCAGTTTCCGAAAATAGCCGAAATATTCCGAACTCGTCCCATCCACATTGGGAGAGTATCGTTGATTTTCTGGTATTTCCGACCGTGTCCGCACGCAAAAATGAGTTATTTGTTTTTCTGTTTAATGTTGGCCACATGCAACACAATGTTGCTCCCTTTTTATGCAAGTTTTTGGAGTTTCTTGCAAATTCTCAAATTAACCACCAGCATGAACAGCCTGCATGTACATCTAACTATCGGATCCACCCAGGGCTTTCATTGTGACCATTGATACGTTACGCCATGATCTTTATCCTGCACAGTAAAAAAAGTTGGTCAAATGGTGTTGGGTGTTTATTATTTTGCCCCACCTGGGTTGGAGTTATAACATTGTTGGCCAATTTCCATCACTGTTGGTCAAACATTGACCAAATATTGGGAACAATTTGCCCAAAGGGTTGCTAAGCTGGTATATTTGGCAACATTGGACAAAACGTTGACCAACCTGTATACAGTGTGGTACCCGTCCCGGACATAGTCTCCAGACGTCCTATGAGCGCAGGGACGGTAGCGGGTAATGAATCTGGCAGAATCCTGCCGAGTAATGTATGGAAATGAGGAAACGATGCCCGCTCAATGCATAAATCAAGCAGGAGGTGATAGCATATTTTGCTTTTCAATTTTCTTCATTGTCAAAGAAAGTTCACCATAAATTGTTCATTTATATACAACTTAACACAATAATCACGGACTGGAAACAGCTGTAAAATGCTTCATCAATGAAACTCACTGAAAATACATGTATATTACCTAACTGTGATCAACAGAGGCGTAGCAAGGGCAGGTACTTAATTGTGTTTTATTCACTTCCCGCTGCGCGGTTCTTTCCTCGTTGCACCAATGAATGATGCCCGGGTTCGAGTCCCGGCTTGGCCCAGGCTTCAAGTGCATTTGGTTTCCAGTCCATACTCGCTCTCGCAGGTTTTCTCCGGGTTATCCGATTTCCTCCTGCCTCTAAAACTGGATCTTCTTCCTAACTTCGTAATGTGATGCTGATTAACAAAGGTTGTGACTAAACGTATAGTTATTGGCGCAAAATACCCTGAGTAGCTGAAGGCGCCAAAACAACAACAACAACAACCGCAGCTTCGTGCTGCAACGTAATTGGTTTGACAAAAATTTAAATAAGTATAAAGATGAACAAAGAACTTGATGGAGCGGCATTTGAACCCGCGTCCTCTGGAGGACCGGTGCATGCTCTGCCAACTGAGCTATCCAGCTCTATGTTGGTGACTCTTTCCATTTGTCCATGTCTTTGTTCGGGGGTGCTAGTCAGAAGCCATTTAACCCTACATACTTTGTTCCCTATGATTTGTTTCACGAAAATTTAAATATTCAACATACAAATTAACAGGGCTAATTGCGCACGTTAAACCGCAGCTAGGCTACGGGGACCGACTAGACGTCGATATCCGTGGGTGATACCTCAGATTTTATAAAGCGTCGTCAGGGAATCTTTGGTCAGGGAACCAGACTATACAGCACGTGGTCGAGTAATACAAGCAAGGAAAAATAGTCTGTCCTTGTCGACTGTGCGAATGAAACATTAGGGCCATGAAAAAAGGGTCGGTGAAAATTGCGAGTTGCGTCATGGCTGACAATTTGAGGGTTTTGATCATCCATGAAACCTTGTGCTTGCTACGCCAATTAGGCCCTTACAAGTCTTATTGATTTTATAATTAAGGAGATGGAAACCGCTAGACACGTCAAGTCGTGTTGTTCGGTAGCCCTCACACAGTGGTGTAGCCGGGGGGGGGGCACGTGCCCCTCTCCGCCACTGAAGAAAAACCGGAGGAATGGATATTGAACAAGGTTTACAAAAACTTGCCCCAAAAAACACACCACTGAAAGCTGGTGCCCCCCATAAGATGCTGGTGCCTCCCCCTCCCCCCAGTAATATCCTATAGCTACGCCACTGCCCTCACATAAAAAAAAAAAAATCAGGCCAGTCGGCCGTGTCCCCCATCACCTCATGGCCGGCAGCAGCATATAAGGCATGTCCCACTTGTCTGCAGCTTGCAATTACTCACAACTCTATGGGAGGCGGCTTCAGCCACAACCACAGCGCGTAATTTCAAGCCACAGCCAAGAACATATAAAGACTGTTCAGTATTCCAACAGCGCATGTCAAAACTGAAGCGCGTCCGAGGTTATTCGGGAATAGCAGCACGCGCGCCTGATGACAGTCGGTCTATCCTATCATACGCCGACTAATGCTGGCACGTTGTTTCCCGAATGACCTTGCCCTTTTTGAAATACCGAACTGGCTCATTGGAACGCCTGGTTGGTCCGTACGAAACAGCTACAGCTGCAAGCCTATATTGCTTAATTAAACTATGTAGCTGACGTTTCACACTGAGTCCACGGTTACATGAAAAATGGCGAACTCGAAATGTATACAACCAAATCGGGCACTGTGTGTGCATTTTGTAGCAATGTATAAATGAATAAATGGCTTTTCATCGCCCGTGAAATGGTTAGATCAATAAGGTTTATTCAACAGGGTATTTAGCATGACGTTTAACGTTGATACCTTCGTATATTGTGTGTGGTTCATTTCAAACCGATGAATATGACTAATGTGGGAATTATTAAGGCAAACAGCCATGTTTAGCCCCAAAGGATTTTAAATATACATTTTAATTTTAGTTTGAAAAAGAGAAGGGCAGTCATCTCTTTTCTGACTGACAAAACAAGTTCTCCAGCAGGTACCCATTAGAGCAATCAATAATTAAGCAATATGCAACATTCAGAGTTTTTATACTGGTATATATTACCATGGTAAAAAGACCTCTTGGAGATATGAAATAGACTAAAATAAATGTATTGCAAAATTAATACAATAAAAAAGTGTTGAATAAAAAAGAACATTTCTTGTCACAGTTCCGATCTACGGTCATCTAACATTTACAAGCTGGAGCTCAGAGAATACACTAACACCAGAAGTCTACTTGTAATTGACAGTATAGGAGAATTTGGGGACACTTGGTGGCAGCAAACATCACTGTCCTTTTCTGTTGATAAGATTAAGCTGTGTGATGTCGCAATCGCAAACTATGGCAAGCGAACAATGGCAAAGGTCATCATGGTCAAGTGACAGAAAATTCCTCATGCTTCCAAAAATTCCCACATCTGGTCGAAACTTTCAAGGCTATTTTGTTGATTTTCGGGTACCGTCGAAACTACCAGCAAATTTTGGGCGAAGATAAACTGATTCTCACTGCAGATTTTCCCGTGTTAATCACACAAAAAGTTCCTAAATTTTCTTGTCATTTTTTGCACAATTACATTGATCTCATCTTTGCACAAAGCTGACTGTTCTCACTGTTTCAGAACTAATAGACATTTGCACGCTGTTTCGCATAATAAAAAAGCATTCCAAGACATGGCATTATACATTATTTTTCACGTGGCTAATGGGTATTTCCTATCAATATTATTAATATGGCAGGGTACCAACCTTAATTAAAAGAGGAATGTTAAATTTGCCGCCACCAAGCGTCTTACTCTTACAGTAACTGTCTCCCATTAGAATCTGGTGCACAACCACCCACAGTTGTGGCTCCATCTCAAATCACCAGCCGCTCCAGGACTTTCTTCAGACCCTCCCCTCGGATTTCGCTCTCCACCTCCTTCACACGGCCGCTGAAGTCCTGGCTCTCCATGGCCAGCAGTCCCAGCAAGTTGTTCAGCTTGACCAGGTCGGGTCGCTGCTCGTCCAGGCGGAACTGCAGCGGCCTGAAGCCTTTGGCCTGCAGCTTCTGAACCATCTTGCCGGTGGAGTGCTGCTGCTTCAGGAAGGAGACGAAGACCAGCTTGGCAGGGTAGACCTCCTTGTGGTACTTCTCAAACAGGTCGGCAAAGCTGGCGGGGGGGGGGGAGAGAACACAGCGACACAAGGGTGTTTATATCGAGCTACTCCATAACTGAAAAATGCCTGACATATGCAGGGTTGCATTGTAGCTTCACGGGCTGGCGGTGACCAGCATTCATGGACTGTTACATAAGGGTGACAATGACACCTGGAGACCAGCACAAATTCTGCCGCATTATATGGTAATTTTGAAGTTTTGACAGAGCAGAAAGACTTAGACAATACTAAACTATAGTATTGATTCACTTTTTTAAAATTTAAAACCATGTAAACAACCACATATATGTATTCGGTTGGCCTCTCCATGTAGCTGACACTAGGCCGTCTTGGCCATCCTGTCTGAAGACATCCAACAAAGGGAACTTCCAGACACAGATCTGCTAACCCGTCTGTGATTACAGCCCAAGCTCAAAGTGTTGCTATAAGCGGAAAATGCACATCATTGCCGGTCAGATTCACAGGCCAAGATATACCAAAATCACTACTGTTACAAGCAATAAACACGAAGCAACAATTTGGCAGGAAGCCCATTGAAAGCAAAGTTTGTCCATGTTCAGCTTGTTAATTCAAAAGAGTTAATTCAAAATATTTCTCCAATATCATCGCAGTGCTTTTTATTTTTTTTCATGAGCCAAATTATGTGAAAATTGGATGCACGGTTCCTCCACAGTGTGCATTTTTCCAGACAGGTCAGCCAAGAATCCCTACTTTTTCCACTCACAAGCTCAATGCAAGTGGGCCAACACACGCTGGGCCATGAACTTCCAATGACCAAAACACCAAAAATCTATTTCATATTAAACTGCCACTTCACATATGCATGGTATGTTTCACAATGATCGGGCATGTGACAGCCAAGTTCTCATATCCAGGGGATACAAGGAAAATGTTCTCATTCATTTTACTGCAGATCAAGCTTTTCCGCATTTTGTTACTGTCTTCTGAATATCGCAGTTGAACAAACTGCGAGTGCATCACATTTTTCTTGACCTACTATTTTGGCATGTAGTTGATGATGATGGGATCATTCTCCTCTTCGTCGGTGACAACGATGAAAGTCTTCACCACTTTCTTGGCCTCGTAGTAGGGATAGAGACTCGCAGCAGGGGCTGTGCCTCCCACAGCAGTCATCGTAGTTGCAAGATGCAGAACCTAATCGTTAAAAATCATTAAAAATTTTAAAAAATAGTTAAAATCGTGCAACACCAATGAGGAATATTCATCAACAAATGAAATTATTCATTGCGTCCACTGCGCAAGCGAGAAACTGTCATGGTGGGTGTTTTGTGCAATTTGACTGAAATCCTTGCAGCACATGAGTTTGGAAATTTCTTGGCAATGATCAGTGGAGATTCCATTTGTCAGCGATTGGAACTTTCATTTAAAGTGGCCTTGCCCACTGTACACTGTGACAAATATTTCAGTGATCTGTAACAATGATCCATCAATGATGGGGATTTACTCAGGAGTTGTGTGAAAACAAAGTGATAATAAACCTTGCAAAAATGAGAGAGCATCTCTATGTATATCTTTATGTATACAATGAGAGGTACTTTTTGTTCTGGAAAAGAGGTATCCCGATGAATGATACAGATCACAAACTAGGAAAAGATATTTTTCTCAAAATTTAGTGACAATGATTAAATTCACATTTTGCTATCTTGTGAAGAATCCTGTTTTGGCGGTTGCATTGAATTTTTCAGCTGGTAAGTTCCTAATCATATTTTAATGATTTGAGGCATCCCCTTGCTAAAAAAACCTATCCCAAACCAGATTTTTTATGAAATTCTACAAAGTGCTGAATGCTCCAGTACAAACATTTTCTCTCTCTGGAGGCAATTGAACACATCCTAGTATGATTTGAAAAGTAGCATTTTGAGGCTTTAGACATGCCATCTGTGTCCCCTCCCACATCCCGTCACCCAGCTTCTGGGACGACCCACGTACCTCCTCAATGGTCCTTGGCACATTCGGCGGCTGGTGGTTGGAACGATTGAAGAAGCAGAGCTCGGCCTTGGAGATGGCACACAGGAGGCTGGCAATGATGGTGCTGGTCTGCACAGCAACACTCATGGACTGCGAGCGGTCTCCAAGGACGACAACGGGGGCATCAATGCTGATGCTAGATGACAAGAGTTATGACCAGGAAGATTGACACTTGGATAAATGGGGTGATGAAAACATAGCAGAACAGGGTAGGGGTGTATACCATAAGTACAGAGTACCAACCCTGACCCTCCAAGTGGTTTTTACTAGAAACTTTGTTCAGCTTAGCAACTGAATGGTAGTTGTTGAACTGACTAGCCTGCTGAAGGTCTATAATATTGATCTAAGGATTCTGTCCAAGTTTCAACAAGTCAACATACATGTAAGCTCAGCATAAACCTGCTGAAGATCCAACAGATCAACTTAAGCTTGGCAACAATTGCTGGACAGGGACACCTTCTCCAGGTCCAACAGATCCGCTGAAGCTCAGCAACAGTTGCTGAACTGAGGAGCCAAGGTCCAACAAATCAACTTAAGCTCAGCAACAGTTGAACTTTTTAAAAAGCCTGTCTTTTCTTTTGCCAACAGGTCCTTTTATATCCATCACAAGTCCACTTCAAGCCATTTAGTCTTATGCCAAGTCATATTCCAAATGAACTGTGATAAATGCATTTTTTATCATTTACCCTGCTACTCGTGACTGGTCTTCTGAAAACACTTGTAATAGAATCGACTACAACACTGGCTCATCAGTGCCTCTGAAAAAAATCTTTCACCGTCTCAAAATTAACGCATACTGCTATAGACAATACCAAATAAAGGAGGTCCTACAGATGACACCTAGTTGCATTCAGCAGAGTCAAGGTTGGAGACAGGAAACCCATGTATCCAGAGCTGAATCAAACGATACTATGGATGACGGTTTCTACGAGTCTCTATTGTAGCCTCATTTCCTACACTGTTAAAGCTGAAGAACAAATGAAAACCTCACTTGATCTCTGACAGTCTTCGCTCTGCAATAGGGACAAGAAGGTGATAGAACTGTGCCATGCTCTGCTGCTGGGATGCCATCTTTTCTGCAGCAAAAATAAGAAGCCAGTAAACCATTATGTGCTAATAATTAATTAATTAGTAAGTAAAGTGCACATTGATACTACAAATATTCTCCTAAAACTATGGCAGGTTTCCTGTGTCCCATGAGGACGAATTCAAGAATTTCAAGATTGCACACCCACCTTCTCTCATGACTTTGATGATGAGAAGACGCTCCATGAGTTTGCCGTACGGGAGAGTGACCTCTTCCCCTGCCTTGAGTCGTTCCTCGATCACCTTATCTACAGCAGGGCAGGCGAGATCTTCATAGTACCTGTATAGTAAGGGGATGGAAAAAAAATGGTGTCCGACTCCATCTTAAAGCTGAAGGCTCCAACTTGAACAAAGTGACACTTTTTTGTCATCCCGTTCTTTAAGCAAGGCTACCCAAGGGTCCTTATGACAATGCATCTCTTTTTTTGAGCTGAGTTGAAGACGGCTTCTCAAGCACCGACTTACGATCAGTTTGACACCAATTTTATGAAATTGCGCAATGTGACAGAAAAGCGACAGAAACCTTTACAATTCAAAAAGTACATTTTTCATTGAAAAACTTAAAAGGAGTATACATTTTCAGCAGGACAGGAAGTATTATTCGACTCTTAAATCTTGCTTAATCGTGGCTGGAGACACTCATAGATGTGAGAAGCCATTACAGTGATTATAATGTACAATAGTGCATTAGTGCAACTGATTTTGTGTCTGATTTATTCTTCAACAATCTGCCGGTCGGTACAACCAAATATTCGGATATTCGGTCAAATTGAAGGTCGATTATTCAAATAGAGAATTATTCAAATTGACTCAGCCCTACAAAACCCTAAACTGAATTAAATCTTCAAAGTTGCACTCATGATGACAAATTTAAAAAGATCAGGCAATGAAACAGCTGAAATCTGGGTCCCCCAATTTGCGAGATGGTCCAAAAAGGGCCGGCTCTTTTTAGAATCTGCCTACCACAGCAGTGTGTCCAACTTCTCCCTCTGGCTGATGAGCTCCTTGGACTCCTCATTCAGTGCTTGCTTTAGGTGCTTGATGTGGGAGTAGGGGATGTCGTACAGCAGCAGGAGGCCGTTCACCCTGGTCTCACTGACATTGCTGCAGCTGGACACCAGGGAGTCCATGGGTGGCCGCTTGCCGTAGCAGAAAGGTAGGAACCAGGGTAGGTCAGGAAAGTCCTGGAAATGTAGCCACATATGATGAGTTCAAACAGCAGCTGTCTATATTTTCAAGAACGCTATTCTCCAGTGTTAGAGTACTTGCACTCGAACTCAAGTACAACTCAGGTATCATAAGTACTTGGACATGTAATTTTATACTCAAACTCATCCCTAATTTTGACATTTGATAAAGTTTGGGCCAAAATGTGTGACATTTCTGTCTCCCTGCTCAACCCGACCCCTGTAATTTGATATATCATCGACCTTGACTTTAAACCGTTTTTATTTGTTTGGCAAGTAGTTCGCATTACCTAATCACTCTTGGAAATTAAACAGAATGCTCTTATGAAATCATACAGGTATGTAAGGTGTGACAGAGACACTAAAATTGGACCCCAAATTTAAAGATCGACCAATGCACATGTCTCTCACGCTCAAATTGTTCTGGCCAACATACCACGCACCTGACGACCAGGAATCCAGAGGAGACACTTTGAACGTGAATGCCACACATGACCTGTTGTATTTAATATCACTCTACGGTGGAATTCAGAGTTAACAGGTTGAAAAGTGTTCGCTGACAAGGACCGCAAGATCTCCCGAGGACACAAAGACCGGATCTCCTGAGGACACAAAAGCACACGTTTGGTGGGGTGCCAAACAAAAGAGAGGGCAGCTATCTCACCTTTGCAGGATTGAAGTGCACGAGGTCAGCCAGCTTCTGCCAGGGCTCCTTGGGCATGTGCAAAGCAAAGAACTCCAGGTCTCGCGTAGCAACACTGGCCATCCAGCGCTTTATGTGACGGATCACTGCGCCACTCAGTGTTCCAGCCTAAGTAACAATACACAATTACAGCATGGTTTGAGGGTGGATAATCGTGGACAGTTGATTGAAGCTCCCAGTGAGATATTGGAAGTTGACAAATGAGTTTCCAAGACAAAATCAAGGGAGTAAGTGTGTCAACTTCAAATACCGAGGCAGGCTAACGTCAACATTAACCAGAAAGCCAGGTTAGGTTTTTTGGAATACCACATGCGTTTTTGTTTGCAATCAAAGTATCAGGCATCATTTACAATATTCCTATACATGAATGTGGACTGCAACCTATTTGTGTCATCTTAGCATAGCTAGCTACAGGGCCACGCTTGTAAGTGTGTACTTTATCTGACTAGGTCCACTTTATTGTTTGCAGGAAACAGCGAAGTACCAAAGCATATGTGATTTGTGCTTAGATTTTCGAAAGCATGCCTTGTATTCAGCCAAAAAAAGTGATTGGCACGTGACAGCCATAAATGGACCGGACAGAGTTTGGCTCTCAATCATAAATACTGTATGCGTTGGGTACGGTGAAACATATTTTGCCAGGGAACCTTCCCTAAATGTTTGAGCAGTTAATAAGCAATAATGATGACAACAAACCTTAGGCTTGTTGGCCATTAGGCTGTTGATCTGGGCCTTGATCTTCCCCACGGCCCGATTCTGCTTCCGGGCCAGCTTCTTGGGGTACATCTGCAGACGTTTCAGCCTCCTTTCCCAAGTGCGGACCCGGCGGCCCGTGTCTAGCAGGCTGGCGGCCTTCAGCACCTCCACCAAACCGAACGCCTTGGTGTTGGTCAGCAGGCAGTTGGCAAGGTCTTGATCGTGGTGGGCCCAGGCCGCCGACAGGGCATGGACTTTGGAGACTGCAAAGCATATACACAGAGAAATTACATAAAAGAAAACTTCATCACAGAGCACCAAGCATCGATGCAAGCATCAAACAGATAAATCGGCAAAGGATGCACCTTAAAATTACATCTGCGCGATGCAAAATTCTATCAACTGTTACTGACAGTGGCCTCCACTGTTACATGTATACCATATCCCAACCAGTCAGCGGACCCTGTCAAGCTGGCAGTTGAAATATCTACTTTACTAAAGCTAGGGGTTGTGGGTTCAAATCCTACCTGAACAAACTTCTAATATGCTACTGGCAATGTTTTTGAAACAATTTTTCACAACTGTGAATTACATGTAGAAAAAAAACGTGATTGGCTGATAGCAGAATTATTGGCAAATAGAGTGGCAATATTGAGCTATCATGCAAAGATCGAGCAATTGTGCATATTGAGCGATCATGCCCATCATCATCGTGAGATGGTCGACCAACACGCCCAATGAGTATTTAGTACGGAGTGCATGTTCTTACCTTGAGATATTTCAGTGCCGGTTCTTTGCAGCATGGTGAGAATGGCAGCATACCTGACGCGATCCTTCCCTATTGCATCATAGTGGCGCTGGAAGGTGCTGCCCTCTAGGAAGAGCTTGCGCCCCCTTCCGCGCTGCTTGTCTTCGCCTCTCGAGGTGGGCGGCATTCTTTTTGTGGGTCAGGTGTTCCTGATGTCGCACTCACTGCATTTAAATTTTACGTGGAGAGATCCTGCTGAGAAAAAATGATCATGTGTGACAAAAATTATTGGAATACACGGAATGCCAGATTCAAAGTGTTTAATCCTGTTAATGTCTTTTACAACTGGGACAACTTGAAGCAGGATTGTCCAATACCCAGTATACATTTAGCACACGTGCAAAACTGCACTTTACTTGTCTTTAACAGTAAGTTATTAACCATGCCAGTGGAGTCCCAAATCATCACCACTGTCTGAACTGTAAGAAATGTTCAGTGCAATGCAATCCTGGTTTAAGGAGTACATTGGCTCCACAGCTGTGTGGAAGTCAATTTTCCAAACTTGTCTGTGGTTCTTAACTACAATGTTGTAATTACTGCTCCTCTTTCCAAGAAATTTTAAAATTTAAAATTCTGAATTTTAAATATCTCAGTAAGGAGAAGCAGTCAAAACGCCAAGCACAGTAGCAAGAGTTTTACCTTGCTTGCAAAAAGATAGTCGCTGTTGAACTGGACAAAATAAAAGCACTTTTAATGTTGAACAAAATTGTTACTGTAAACTGTAGAGTCTGTGTTAGCAACTTTCCGGACTCCTGAGCCCGCTGATTGCGGGGCCCAAGACAAGGAAGAAGCCCAGCATCTGGGCACAGTTCATTCTTTTAGAACGACTTTTTAATTTTGTTTCACTCATTTTTTTCCAACTGCTCACAGCTTGAGCTTAGAACTTTAAAATAAGGGAAAGAATTCCAAACATGCAGTACTCAAGTTTCAGATAAAGTTACGGAAGTGGAGTCAGCACGCATGGTCAGGATGCAATATTCTTTCCAACCCTAATTTCTCACACTTACCATTAACGTCTGAAAAAAATCTGCGTGGTTTACCTTGTTATCTTCAGCTGTTAATGCGAAATTCGTTTGGAATAAAGTTTTAAATATAAGTGTACCTGTATGTACACGTACGTAGGCCTATTTTAGGCAAAGAGAGGTGTGTACGAATGACATAAACAGACTGGGTATGACATGATGCAAGGCAGTGTAACAACAATTACAAACAAACGAATTCTAGCGTACGGATAAGTACAGATTACTGGAGTGAACAAACGAACCGACAAGTAAAGTGCGCATGACCAGACGCTACATGTTGTGCAATCACGCGGGAAAATAGGTGTAACTAAAATTAATTTTCAAGCTCGATTGCGCATGAAAACAGTTTGATGCTATTGAATTAAAACTGAATGAAACAACACAGAAAACAAGGAAATGATTCTTGGTTTTATTATACGGCACGGGAGAGGGGGTTTCACAATGCAAGTGAGTGCTTGAAGTTCAATCTTCTGCTTGCAAATAGGCCTACAATAAAAGTTCAATACAGAATTGATGAAAACCTTAAAAACCAGACTAGAGCTTTCATTTCCAAAAAAAAAAGGATGAACATTGGTCAAACACCAGTAACATAATACTGAAATAATCCGAAGTAGATGTCAATTTTGAATAAATTGGCAGTAAGATCTTTAGCTATTTTGAACAAGTCACTAACGAGCAAATTATACAAACTTCATGTAAACAAAATAATGTACAGAGTGATCCTACGACCAAGTAAGGCCAAACAATTGTAATAAATATAACATCAAAGCAATTTGTATCAGCGGATTGAAGTAGGAAACAATGCGTATATGCAGTACAATTAACTTCAATAGTCTGAAATGCTACAAAAATTCAGAATTGCATTAATTAACTTAAATTATATTAAGGAAATGTAAATGTAGCATTGGAGACTATTTCGATGAATTAATCCGAACATGTTTTTTTTGTACAATCAGAAGCTACCATAGATTTGAAAACTGGACGAGGAACTGTATGAGGGCAGCATAAAGAAATAATTTCTTAATTAAAAGAAATAAGAAGAAATAACGTTTAGTAAATTTAAACTTATATTAAGTCGACAAAACACAAAACTTCATTAATACCATTTTAAAAATTGATCTTACTGTCAAAACCATTGCTATGTTGAACGCCAGATACGACTGCCAGAAGAAAAAATAATGGAAAAGTGGAAACGTAGGTCTATACCTGAACATGCAAGTCAACGCTTTCAGGCTAGCGATAGCAATGGAAACATTTTTTACTTTATTTAGTTGTTAATTCATTTTAACCTTTATTTCCTGTGACCAGTAGCTGCTGTCAAGTTAAGTAATTTTTTAATATGTAACGCAACTATTACCCACATTACGAAGTATATACGAGTCGATTAACTAATTGTTTAATTTAAAATGTAATTACCCTCAAATCAAAACTATTCACAAACTGTGAGCAATAATTCAGTTTGGCCATAAATAAAGCCATTGCAGTGGTCTGCAATCAGGGTTGCGGCAATCGAAAGTTGTAAATATTCATTGCAGCTTGCAAAGCTTAAAATTAAGCAGTCTACCTTCAATTTTACGTTCTGTCCGTGATAATTAAAAGATTTTTGCCTACAAAGCCAGGAAGGGAATATAAAGGTATCAAATGACTGAAAGATTAAAGTCTGTTCCATATGCGTCTAGGATACAACAAACGCTTCTGTACTCTTGCGTATTCATTGGGTAGGTGACAGACTGTCACAATAAACAGCAAGAAGTATACGGATTTGAGAATGACATTAATAGAATATTAGAGTTATATCAGCTATTCTTGTATGCAAATAATATACAAGATTACGAAGAAATACTTTTTTTTGGAAATAAGGATGTTCTTTATGAGGACAATTAGGCCTAGACTATGGATATGAGTATCAATGCTAAATTCAAAAAATCGCGGTCAATTGTCATTATTTTTTTTTTGATTTTACGTGTGAAGTCATCCTGAAAGACTCTTCCACAAAAATTTGTAGCCTGAAAAGTCTGAATTTAACATACTTTTACGTATTTTTGTCTTGACTCCTTACTTTCAATCGTTTGATCGTATTAAGAATTGACACTGACACATACAGCCTCGTTTTCAAACGCGGAAGTGCGCAGATCGAAGCTAAAAGCGTCGTATTGGGATCCCTCTATATTCTTCAAGCTCTTTGGGGTGTCGCAACCCATCATTCATGACAAATAAAACGAAACTGCGGTGTCTCGTGCATAGATAAAGCAGGCGAAACAAAACTCTCTTCTGTCATAGCCTTTCTGGCCCTTTTGGGTGTTTTACCGTGAAATAATTCCTGACAATAACATGAAACTCTGGTGCATTGTTAAACTCCGGTTCATCGCTAAAAGCAAGCAAAACAAAAATCTCTTCCATCATGGCCCTTGGGGGTGTCTTCCCGGAACCCTCCATCAATAAAAAATGATACAGAATTCAGGTGCATAGAAATGAAGTGCTTTCCTGAAATAATTCATTAGTCACAAAAGAACAAAACCCAGATAGTAAAAACAAGCGCCCTCCCCAAATCCTATATTTATGACAAATAACACAACATATACTCGGGTTCATTATTGGCACAATCCTTTAGTCATGACAAAGGAAACCGAAACTCGGGTGCATTTCTCTCATATCCTATGATCATGAATGAAAACAAAATTCAGGTACACGGCAATTAAGTGTCTTGCTGGAATCCTCCAATCGTGAAAGAAATAAAACAAGACTCATGTACATACATGTAGAAGGTGTTTTTGCTTGTTTATGAATCCTTAAATTGTGACAAACTGATACAAAATCAGGTGCCTTGTCAGTACAGATACTTTCCCGGATTCCTTCAACCATGACTCCTCAACCCCCCCCCCAACCCCAACCTCCCAAAAAAAAAAATGTAAAAATCGGGTGTTAAAATCATAGTTAAGAATGGTCATTTTTGGATCCGTACACTCATGAACTTGAATTGAAAATTATATGCATAGTTAAGTCTTCCCGTGAAAAACAAAAACTCATATGCATGATAGGTGTTTTGTCGGAAACCTTCAATTATGACAAATGATACAAAATCAGGGGCCTTGTAAGCACAAATAGACCTACCTTCCCAGAATCCTTCGATCTTGAAAAAGAAAACAAAGAATTAAGTCAGGTGAATGTTATTCCCAGAGAAAAGATATTTCTGCCACAAAGGTCCCTCTAGTCTCCCGAGAAAATATGACACAAACAGTATAGCCACAGGGAGGGGCCTGGGTGGGCACGTGCCCCCCTCAAATTCCCAGTGCCCCCCAGGTCTCCCCCCCCCCACTGAATACACGGATGAATAGATATTGAACAAGGCCAACGAAAACTTGCCCCCCAAATCCACAACACCGAAAGCTGGTGCCCCCCATAAGATATCAGGACAGAAACCGCTTTTCTTTTTTGTTAAAGACCAATTCCCCTAATAACCAACTAAAAACTGTGCTAAGCCGACAAAGATTGACATGATAATTATCGCACTTGCTTTTTATAGTCTTTGACTGCTCAACAATTATCATCTAGAACACAAAATGTTAACTCGCAAAGATCTGAATTGAAATCAGTTCAACAAAGAGCCTATACATGACACAGAAAAGTATTGATAACAAATACGGCAAAAAAATACAGCCTGTGATTGACTGACAATATGTGACCTGAGGTAATATTATTTATTTCATACCCATTCATTGTAATGTTCAAAAGATTTCTGAATCCTGACTTTAAGATCGAAGAAATATTTTCACAAAGAATTGTTTTCTTTTACTCGTGTATTTACCGCAACAGTAGTAATTACCGTCACGCTAGTGAATTTGCCTTAGCGTATAAAAAAATTGAATTAAACATTACTGAGACTATAACAAACCCCAGAAAGCAGTTTTCTTTAATATGCCATTAGTAACTAAGCAAGTATTAATTTACAAAAAGTAATCACTTCCTACTAGGCGAGTGGTTTGTCAAGAGAAATGATTATTCAGAACTATAAATCAGAATTTGACACAAAGTACATGAAGATATCACATAAAATATCATCTCAAAATACCACCACAAAAATACTTGAATGTACTTATGTTTACGTAATTATAGTTATTCAAAACCCTGTTTGTTTAAATCTTTCCTTACGCTTTAAAAATAATGTCTCTACTTAAAATTATGAAAATGCCAAAACTTTAATTGTGGGTTAATTTTATGGCGGCAATAATCTCTCGCTTTGAATGTCATAGTCATCCTTTGCTCCTCATCTGCCTCAAATAGTTTTACGTGTTATGATTACTGTAAGTTTGTTTCACTCTACCCAACAAGGACACAAGTGTAAACAAGTTACAACGGTGGCTAATTTTAAATCCCTTCAATAAAAACACTCTCGAACATTAATGGTGTAATATTTTTGATAATAATTAATTTTGCTCTTTAAAAAAATTAATTACCAATTTGTAGACTTTATAATACCAAACTCTTTTCAAAAAGAAAAATTCCGATTGGTCTATTCCTTGACTAGAGATGCGAAGAGTCCGTTCTCGTCGGCCAACAGCTCCGAGGGGCTTCCATACTCGGCCACCCGACCATCATCCAAGACTAGGATGCTGTCGGAATCCATGATGGTGGCGATACGGTGCTGAGAAAGGAAGAAAGGAATTATCAGGATTATCGGTGACAGATAGAATAATTTAGTGACTGACAGCATGGTCCAGATTTTTAGCTGGTTACTAATAAAGTGACTCCTACATGCAGCCTATTTCCTGGTTCCTTTAAGCACTGTCTGCCCAAGGTCACTTGATACCTCACACAGTACGCACCACACGCTTTACAATCTTAACGTAAGGAGATTTTTTAAGACCATGCAGCTACATATTATTTCATATAGCTCTATGTTTATAACTCTACTCCCAGGAGGAAAATACCATAATATAGCTATGTGTCCGAGGTGGGAAATGAAGTAACATTGTTGAACAAAATCGCAGGAATTTTTATGATAATTTTGCGACTCAAACGATATTTATGCGTGGGAATAAATAATATAAACGCTCATTAGTAAGACCGGCTTATCATCCGATAAATGATAAAGTCCCTCGCTTTCGGCCCGGGCATTATCGGCACCAATTATCCTGATCAGTTCAAGACCAGCTCAGCAAATACTGCGTAATACCTCTACCGACTTACTGCAATAGTTATAACCGTCCTGTCTGCGAAGGCCGTAGCGACTACGTTCTGTAGAATCTTGTCCTAAGATCAACAAAGTAGTAATTTCCTAGTGAGTTATTCTTCAAAATAAAGGATGTGAACGAACATCTAAGATTTTTCAAACGGTAAGGAAATTGGTTTAAAACATTTCTGATCCGTGTAATTACTGGGAATTCTGTATTGGTCTCTTTTGAGCAACGTTATTGAACGAACGGCATACCGTCTCCAAGTCGATAGAGGCTGTAGCTTCGTCCATGACGAGGATGCGTGACTTGCGCAGGAAGGCACGAGCTAAGCAGAACAGCTGCCGCTGGCCGACGCTGAAATTCTCTCCTCCCTCAGTCACTTTGGACTCTGGCAAATGTAACACAAAACACAAAAATGATGCTTTTTAGGACACTATATACTTAATTAACCTACCTTAATTTAAGTATAACCAGGGCAAATGTACTCAAAAGCACAAAACTTGGTAACAATTGAATATGAGGGCACTGTTGTATAGTCACCCGAGGAGATCTCTTTGATGGTACTATTTGACATCACAGGCTTTACTAAAGAAGATTTACCTGTATGAATTTAGTGAATCTTCGTAACCATCAAAATTGTAGTGCTCAAATAACAGTTCAACTCGATACTGTATGTATGAACATAATATCAAGGATATCATTTTTTCTAACCTAGTCCGTCTTCAAGCTGAGAGACCACATCCTTGAGTTGGGCGATCTCAAGTGCCTCCCATAATTCTTCGTCAGATCTCTTCATATCTGGATCGAGATTAACTCTGTTGAAAACATTACCAAAACATCTTGTCTGACAAAGTGACATATCAGGGGCAAAGCTCAACATCAGATTGAATAACAGATTCTTAATTCTCGTGTGCATTCAATAGTCGTTTGTGAACCAGCGAAGTGCAGTTGCTACCTCAGGGTGCAGACCACTAATTAAAGTGAAAATTTCTGGCCAGCTCATCAGCATTTAAAGTGCCCCCGCAGTATCTTTTGAAAAAGGAGATTGTTTTCCCAAAAATTGTGAGATTGTGTAAATCGTTGCCAGGACGAACTCCCTAGGTCCTGGAGCTCTCATATGAGAGCAGAATGGCTAAAAACTACGGTTGAAAAATGGTCTTAAGTGCCCGAGAAAGTTGAGGATAAAGCAGGGTGATTTTGTTTTGTGGGAGTAATTGAAAATGTAATTGGTTAACCCACAAAAATTGAGAAGAAATTGAAAGATTAGGGACCAGACAATAATTTCATTTGTGTTTCTGAAATCTCAAGGATGTTGATATGTATGTTATTGGGCCCTGAACGGTGCTGATTTTACACTGTTTTCAATGGGGCTTGAATTAGTGGACTGTAGTAAGGAGACTGCGTTGCTACGAAAAGTGCGCCCGCTTTTGGTCCAGCTCCAGGCTCATTACAGCACTGTGTTGATCGAGAGTGTCCACGCACTGTTAAGATCGCGGTATTTTGCAAACCTGAAGCTATGAGTTGTAGGAGATCATGTGTATAATATGCCAATACTTCTACTCCACTTGCTAGCTATTGGAATGAAAGCTCTCTCACCTTATTGACCCTGTGAATAAGACAGGATCTTGCGGGATGATGGACAGCTTACTTCGCAGTATGGTCAGAGGCACAGTCGAGATATCAACACCGTCAATCAGAATTCGACCTGATTAAGGAGAAATTCAGACGTCATTATTAAAAAAGATGACCGTTCGCCTTTTGGTAAATTATGCTGGATATATTCTTCATACACGATTCAGTTCATTTGTAACCTGGCATTTTGATCAATGTTTGTTGAGGCCACTGATAGGAATTATGCGTAAGTTAAAGCTTTGAAGTATAATATTGTAGTGTAATAGAATATATCCTCGATATGATGTTTTGTGGTACTGAGCCCATACCTTCAAAGATGTCAATTACTCTAAGTAGAGCCAAGGTCAGAGTTGATTTTCCACTGCCAGTCCTGCCACATATTCCAACCTGAAACGAAATAGACTGGTTAACGAAAGTTTGCAGCATCTATATCTGCTTTGTATAGTGCAACAGTACCCCACAGAGTAATGAAGAACACGAGTGTAGGCGATATCTAAGCCATACCATCTAACCTAATGGCACGGTTAACTTTAAAGAGGCCATGGGGGCAAATTCTCCTCCGAAGATTTTGGCCAGCGTGAAAGGGCTCAGATGGGGTTTTTGACGGCATTTCTGATGTTGTGGCTGTAAATTTTGCATGCATCATTTTTTAAAATTATTTGTTTGATTTTGTGAAAGCTGCTGCACTGCTTTTACCTTTTCTCCTTTTTTGAAACACAGCGAGATGCGCTTTAAGACAGCATCAAGATCCTTGGCGTAACGAACTGACACATCTTCGAAACGGATATCCCCCTCCATTGGCCAATCAGATACCGGTGCCTTACCTTTAAGTGATGAGAACAAAAATTAAGTGCAAGAAACGCAAAGGTTCACATCGGGCTTTTTAAAAATTATTTGATGCTGGTATTCAGTGATGGTTGGTCTGGATAGTTTTAGGTATTTTTGTAGCAGATTTTATGATCCTCACAGGTTTTAATTCAATGATCGTTTTATTCAGATTAAACCACCGACAGAGATACCTTCATACGGCTCAGTGTCCACATCCGTATAAAACTTGATACGTTCAACGCTGTTCATCTGCAGTTCCGTATCTGCCACGTTCCTTACAAGCCAGTTGAGATAACCCGCAATCTGACAAAGATGGAGTACCATTTGTTGACAAAATAAAAGTAAATCCAATATCTTGGTGAATACATTTCTGAAAAACGTGAACTTTTCTTCTTTTTCTTGGGTTGGGGAATGGACGGAATAGTTATTTCGAATTTCTTCATTGCAATACCTGTAGCGAGTAGGTTATACCGAGTCCCACTAAACTTGGATCAACGTTAAACGTGAGTGCGCCAACCAGTGTCGACAAGCCAGCCAACAGTACGATTAAAGTGCCGATCAACTCCTGAAAAAAAAAACCAAGTAGGCCTACGTTTAAATGAGATTATGTCTCAGATATTGATGCATATTGAAACGAAGGGACCTGCGTACAAAGAAACGAACGATTGCTTACCAGCCTGGTACCCAACCATCGGTTTGCAGCTTGGAGATACAAATACGGTCGCAAATTTCTATCAATGCGATATATTAGGGTATTGTAGAAACGCTGTTCCTCTCTATGAAAAAGTGAAAATAAACAGGTATCATGCGATATCTTGGGAACAAAAGATGGATTGTACTCCAACGCTACTTACCTTTTGTTTGGTGGGGGCATTGCTAGCAATCTCTGAGATCCTTGCAAAGTTCACGAGAGACGAGAAATGGTATCATCAGTAATGCGGTAAGAAGTTTCAAGAAACACAGAAATTACTGACCCATACGCCCGAATGGTCGACAGTCCACCCAGAGTCTCGGAGAAATATGCAAAGATTGGGGACTTACTCGTACTGTCGATACGCTGAAGCTCCCTGTTAATCAAAAACGATCAGCGGGGAATCATTACTGTGTTCATCTTCAATGCTGTACAAAATCAAGGAGTGTACTTTACTTGCGATATCAAATTAATTCCTTTCACGATCAAAAAAATCAGAATTGAAATTTTAAAGTTTAAAAAAACAACAGCTCCGTGATCGACTTTTCTTTCCGCTGTTTGTTTGCGTACCTGGAGGTCGTAATGAAATACTTCTGTACGAAGTAATAGCAGATGGCGATGGGAATGACGAAGACTATAAAGAAGGGCATGACGACTGTGTTGACGATAATGGCGGAGAGACACTGGAAGAAACAGCTGAGTAGACTGCTCAACGACTGGCCGAGCCGCTGGAGAAAGACACAAATCCCTTTTTTAATTCAGAGAAAAATCACAATAAATTTGGAGAGTAGACCTCATTCGCAAGTTGGCTAACTTTTTTTATTCTAGAAACCTAAGAATAGCATCAAAATGAAGCAACGAAAGAGTGCATTACAGATTCATTTTTATTTACGACGATGAATGGTTGAAAAGTTGTTGTGTTTTATTGTAATGGTTTAAGTAACATTGAGAAATTCAAGGCAGGCAGTAACCTAAAGCAGCCTTACACTACCCCTTTTGACAGATTCCATTGTATAAGACAAATTCAGGGAACAAAGTCAAAAATGTCTTCCTTATAAATAAAGTCTATCTCACCAAAAACCTAGCTCACGCGTCAAAATGGTCCAGAAATCAGAATCCAATTTTTTGGTCTCGGTCCTTCTTTTCTATGCAAAAAAGCTCTGCATTTAAAGACTGCATTTAAAGACATATTCTTTCCCTGTTTACTTACAATGTCTTGTTTTGGTACGTCCATAAGTCCCTATCATGTTTGAAAATTACCTTTGGCTCTATGACTACCGTTAGATTTAGTCCTCGATAGGAATTGTACTTACGGTGTCTACCATTTGAAGGTCGCTTGAGAATCGATTTAGGATTCTTCCGATCGGAGTAGTATCGAAAAATCTAATAATTGAAAAGGGAATATAGTGGTGGTGGTTTTAATGGCTGTACTGTTTCTAGTTTGTCCCAAGGGGTGTTAAAACTGTGAAGAATCTGAGTTTTGGTTTGGTCCTTCGTGCTGTTCATGTCCTCATGAAGACTGCGCATATTTAGCTCAAACTTATCGTGTCCTGACTCAATTTTGCATCACATTATTTACGACAACAGTTTTCAGCGATATGACACCCTAGAATGCAGCAGATGTGTAGATGAACTTTTACCTTACGATGACACTAATGATGCAAAGAAAAATGTATCACTGAAAAAGCGAAGCGTTTGCACAAAGGGAATTATACCCAGTGTAAAATGGCTGAACAAAGATGTGATAATATCATAAGCTGGGCCTTTCCTACCTCAGTGGCGCTCGTATAACATTGCGAAGCATATTTTGATGGAGACCCGTTGAAGCAATCAGCGCGGCCATCACCAGAGAAGTGTAGGACACGATCTGACCGACAATGGTTGCTACGGACAGACCTGCATAACCACCCAGATACTCCCCTGTCGTTCTTGAACTCTGCCGAAAAGAAAAGGTACGGTGTCAGAAGAGGAACCACATCCAAACCTTTTGCAAGTCCACACCATATCTTTTTCTCTCGTGCCGACAGTACCATTAGACAATACTGAATTTCACGGCGCATCTGAATACCAACTCACCAGTGCTAAATGCGCAGCATTAAATTCGCAGTGACATTTTTCCCCTCACAACTTTAACAAGCCATATCAGGCTGGCTTAATGGGCTCTTCCGTCGCCGAAATTTACAAATTCTATAGGATGTAGGACCTCAATCAGTACCGTGCCCCCCGACCTCTTTTTTTATAAATGAAATAAATAATTATGTAAATAATTGGTATAATCCAGTTCTCAACTATTAGAACCAAAACCCTGAGAAAACAACACCAGCAAATAAAAGAAAGGATGTTGGGACCTCAAGGCTTTTGATTTTTTTTCTCCCCAACATCATGTTGAATGAGTCCGAAACCACATTCGCTTTTAAATTTGCCCCCCACCCCGACATCAAAAGCTGAATACGCCACTGACCCCAATAGTAGGTACATGTATTAATACGGGCGATTCACGAGAGTGCACCTCCAAGAGTTTGCAACATGTTGTCCAATCACAACGCTTGAAATCTGTCTACCTTCTCCAAATGCGCATTGGGTCGACGGATTTTGAAGATTGTGATTGGCCAACGCGTTGCAAACTCTTGGAGGCGCACTTTTGTGAAACGCCTGTATTGTGGTTCGTCTGTACCTTATACTGAAAAAAGATATTCAAAGACAGGTTTGAACCACTTAATTATGGGTCCGTTGCTTACTCTTTGGTTGATACACGGTCACAAGGACTACACACCTCTCGGAAGAAGGAAACCAACTTACATTAGACAATCCTGCCTCAGACCAAGCAGACAACCAGAAGGAATTGCCAATGGTCAGCGCTGCCGTCGCAGACCTCAGGAAGAGCACGAAGGCGATGGCAGCCCAGCCGGCACTCCTCATGTAGTAAAAGTACACCTTGAACGAGACGGATCCCTGGGCTTGCTCCTCCGTCTCTATCAGCTTGCCATCACTCTTTTCCTCTTCTTCAAAGGAAATAACGGCAAGTTACCTTACTATGGAGGAGTCGCAAGCACAACAAAGTGTAGCCCCCCTTCGGAGTATTATTTTTGGCCTTCCATTTAGTCTGACTTTTGCCGCCGTAACGTCTTTAAAATTGTACCCGCTGATGTACGATGGATAATTTTGTTTGTAACAACTAGTTTGTTTTCAAGCCCTTGACACACATATCGTATTATGTTTTTAATACAGCGGGAGGCAGGTCAAGTTAAACTTCCTGCCAAAAAAAAGGTATATACCAGGTGATTTGTTGAAATCAATCTACCCATACACCCATAAGTGTGTTGTCTGCACTGTTCAACTGATGATTTACCTTTGGACATCGATTTGATGAAGCTGCCCTTCTTGGACAACTGCCTCTTGAGGGCTTCCCGTTCCTCCTCGGCCTCCCCCACGTGCTCCGAATCCAACCCCGCCTCCGCTTCTTCCTTCTCCTGTGCGACTGCCTGACTCCAGCTGCTGTAGGTCTCGGGGTCAGCCTTATTGAGGTCATCAAGGCCACCCATGGCTGCCACCCTCCCGTCCTTGAGATGAATAATCTGGAAACAAAGCAATTTTAGTGGTTTCATGCTGAATCCAGTCGGCACTTTTCAGTGTAAAATGAACCAGTTTTTGTATTGCAACGGTACGGTATACGTGCACAGCATGAAACGGTCACTTGGGCCAATCAGTTCGCGTGTGCGACCCGCACTCTCAGAACTATAGCGTTGGTGCTTGTTGCCGATTGACATTGCCTTTATACATGACATGCATATATTAATTTTGTCACATTGAGTGCATAATAATATACAAAAGCAAATCGTCATTGCTTGTAAATTTGAGCGACAACAAGGCCTAAGATGATGGCGCAGACTGCTATGAGGGTTGAACAACCTACCAAATCAGCTCTCCTGAGATACTGGAGTTGATGCGTGACGAGAATCACCGTTTGATTGTTATTGAGAAGCCAGCTGACAATTCCCTCCTCGAAGAGATGACGACCCACATGAACGTCAAGAGCCGACAACGGGTCATCCTTGGTTAAAAAAAAAACAGAAAAAGAAAAAAAAAGGAAAATGACTTATTTTCTCAGCAGACTGGAAACTTCAGATTTCTAATAGGCTTTTGAAAGCTAGATTGCCTTTGGAGCTTTACCAGAATGATTATATCTCGCCCGGAGTACATGGTCCTGGCTACGCTGACTCGTTGCTTCTGTCCGCCGCTTAAATTGATTCCTTTCTCCCCGATCTCAGTCTGGTCACCGCCGGGCAAGATTTCTATGTCTGGACTCAAAGCGCAGGCGTTAATAACACCTTTGTACCTACGGTTGAGCAAAAATCGTTAGAAATGAATCCATATATATCTTGTTTCGAATTTCAGCGTTCGTTATCAGGTATGAGGAGGGGAAACTTGCGCGGAGAGGCCTTTGTTATGCCGATTCCTTTATTTCCAAATGTTTTACCGAGACCATTATTCCTGCATTTTACTGATTTATTCTTCGTGTGCTACTTTCTTGGACATGTTGCCATTTTGCGTACCTCTGTTGGTCCAGTTCCCTCGAGAAGAGTATGTTGTCTTGCAGGGAGGCATTCACGAGCCAAGGCTTCTGTGCCGCTAAAGCAATGCTCCCTTTTTCTCTGAGGGAACAGGAAGAAGACACATCGGTGAGGTAATGTTCTTCTCAGAAATCATTCTGATGTCAGTTCCGAAACGAACTATTTTGTATGAACTAGACCTTCACCTGTTTATTTCAACTTTGCCAGAAATGGTGGTCATTTCTCCCAGAATAGCAGAAAGCAGAGACGACTTGCCACACCCAACTTGACCGATAATCATGGTAAGTTTTCCTGAAAAAAAATGTGTTGCCATTAACATAATCTGAACTCGAGAAATTGTTCTCTTTGTATCTCAAGTACCATACAAAAACATAAAGCTTCTAAGATTAAAGTCCTATTTTACCAAAAAGGGATAGAAGTTCCGACCAAGATGGTAGAGTTTTTACATACATGTACATGAATGTCTTTACTTTGTACCGATATGCATCCACAATCGGATGGTTTTCTCTATATGAAAAAGGTTTCTGCGCATTCAGAAAAAAATGATTTTAGTCTGTTCAAAGCCATGCGCACGTGCATCTTACTCACGTGGATAAACCACCCAATGCTTTGCTGTCTCTGCACTGAGCCAAACTGTCCGGACCAATACTTACCTGCTGGTATTTCAATGTTAATATCTGACATAACTGGTGTGGTGCTTTCTGGGTCCCAAGTAAAGTTGCCATTAGTTACCTGTTGATAAAGATTCAAGAAGAAGAAAATGTACACAAAATTGTACAAGCACCAAATCCAAATTCACTTCAAATGTTGAAAAATGTTCTCTGCGGCTGTATTTTCAGTGTCCACAAACCCCATATTTTGCATCTCACAAAACAGTTTGAATATTTCAGTGGAACATCTAAAGACTACAGTAACTCTTGTCGGTGAATGCATGCATTGATTTGGATGCACGCAAACCACATCTGGAGATTTGAATGTTCAAAAATGGTGTTGCAACTCCAGTTACTTACCTTTACGGCAATCTCAGGCAGCAGGGTCTCACCCTCATCTGGTGCGGTAAACCCACCGTTCACCGCCCCCGTCTTCCCCGCGTTGCCGTTGCTGTCGATGATAACGTCCCCATTGTTGATAGGCTCTGTGTCGTCATCCGTCTGGATCCCAATGGTAATATACTTGCTGAATGTCGTGCTGATCGCCACCTCGCCTGGCTTACGAAACTTCACCACAGCATCCTTGCTCTGAACGTTTCATGAGTTTGTCATATACACATGATAAGATTAGATACGAAAACTCCTTAGGAACTACAGAAAGCAAGTCCCCACACTTTCCGACAATAAAAATGTAAGTGACTGTATTGATATCGATGGACCCCGGACACGTTTAACAATAAACTAGTTAACTTTCACGAATTGAAAAACACTTGAACACAACAACTCACCAAATATCAGCACAGAATACGTGCATGACAGCCACCTTTAATTTCTGGTAACTACTGTTTGTACAGGGGGTATAGCATATAGGTCTCCTCATGTGTGTCCCTATCAAAAAAAACTTTTACCTAAAAGCGGGCTGCCTTGAACCAGCCTTTCTGCTCTGTTCCTTACCGGTTTTTGTCCCTCGCCCATTTCTCCTGGTTCCTTCCCCTCGACCTCAGGGGCCAAGAGGAACTTCCGCAACCGCTTTGTGCTGACGATGGCACTGACAACCATGGATAAAGACATAGGGAGAATGAACAGCGGCAGGGCGAGCTGGTTGAAGAGGGCCAGCGAAGAGAAGGTCATGTCCGGGGTCAGAGGCAAACCGGTCAGGGGAGTGTAGGTACCAAACGCCTGGATAAGATGTGGAGAGAAGTACCGGTAGTACTCCGCTGATAGAGGTTCTGATCAGGGTGGATTTATATCAGAAATCGCCTTAAACGTATACTTACATCAAATGGGCTATTTTGTTACACGAGTCAGTCCTTTATCACTCAGCCGGTGCCTGTAAGTATTCACCCTCTGCCTTTTTTAGGCACAATGTTAATTTTAACAAAGTAAATCAAAGATCAAATTAATAAGATTAAACTGGGAGCAGACAAAAGCAACTTTGCAATCGAAGCACCGGTATAAAAGTATGAAGTAATAATATGGTCAGATATAAGTTCCAGAAAAACGGCAAATGCCTCTTTTGGGATAAAAGTTGTCGTTTCTCTAGTCATGATGTCTTTCTGACAGGCAAAAGACAAGGTTTCTGAACTTACCACTAGCGTGACCAGAATAGGCGTGCCATTTGTCAGTAGCACTGGAAGACAAAAACACATGTTTGGAGGTTATATTTGACTTTAAAGTACGTGTACAATCATGTAAACGTTTAAAAATGTCCTTATATTCCTCTTATTCGGTTGTCAAGGCCTGTGACAAAATGATACAGGGCTAGTAACGGATTAAGGAGAGTACATCGGGGCGAAAAGTCACTTACTTGTGACGACAAGGGCAAAGTTAATCTTCCTGAGGACAGCCAGCTCCTTTTTGCGGACGTCCTCGATGGAGTTGCAGTACAGAAACTCCCAGGCGTAAAGCTTGAGCAGTTTGATCCCTTGGAGGAGCTCGTTGGACTGCTTGAGACGTTGATCCGAGCAGCCCTGAGTAGAGCCACACAAAGGTAAAGTGTACCTCTTTCCCTTGAAAAACTCTTCGCTCTACCGACGGTTGCTGACTGTTAATTTACAAACAGGCTTAAAAGAGACTAATTACAATTCTCTAAACAGCCAGTACGAAAAAATCACAGCAACTTCCTTCCTTTTTTGCTGAATAGCTGAACGTGTATTTTTGACATAGTGTTCTTGCACCTGGTACCAAATCCATTCAGCCTATAAAGACGATGCTTTGATTTGTTTTTTTGATTCTTTGATTATGTTTTGGAACTTTTAGCAGGCCAAAGATTTTTGACGTTTACATTACGGGATTTCTAACCTTTGAAGAACGGATAAATACCCTTTTAAAGGAAACTGACCCCATACAGAATCAACTTCAACAAAAATCGCAGGCAAATGATGAAGTCTTGGGGAGACGCGATATCCGGAAGTTATCTGATGAGTTTTAGGTACCTAAGTTTATGGTTCAACTCCAGCAACCATCCTCTACAACCGGACCACCTTCTCCTAACAAGTATACGCATAATGCATTCATATTAATCGAGTTGTAATGCACATTCTTCTGGTTACAACTTTTAAATGATTGAATCGGCCTGTGTTTCCATATTTAGCGGATAATCGAATTTTCAAAAGGCCTTGTTGATAAAGGTCGACAAGCCTTCGGGTTCTGCTTTTGAACCACTTTTAAGTTGCAGTCGCTTCATCATCATGTTATCTTGTTTCAGATTTTTTATATTTTCAGGCTAGTTTCCATGCACTCTATCTACGATGTCAACCTCGTACACGAAGCTTGACATGTATTGTAACACATGTAAATTAATGCTGAGATGGAGATCTGAACGAATACTTACGAGGATATTTTTCCTTTGCCTAGTCATCACCTGTGCAACTTTCATTTGGATCGGCACAACGAGGACAAACACAGCAAAGCCAAGTAGTGCAGCAAAACCCATTTGGAAGTACAGGAGCACCAAGGTCAATATTATCTTGGATAAAATGGATAAACACGTCAGTGATGAAAAAAAAGTCTTCACACTAGAATTTGTTCTCTTGCTGTCACAGTCATTTTTCTAAAAAAAACTATGGATGGCCGTCGGTGCACAAAAACATGCATGATTCGCAAAGTGTTAAAACTCCCACCAAATAATAATACCAGATAATACACATATACTACATGTACTTAAAACTTCATGAAAATACAATCCTATCTAAAATCATTGGGAAAGTCCATTTTGAGTTTTGTCCGTTTTAAACTGAAGGTAAAATCCAAAAGCAAACCAAAGGTGATTTTCTGCAACCTTGGCCGCCCATACAAGTTGTAGGCAAAATGAGAGTGGTCTGTGGGCTCGAACTTGAGTTAAGCGGGGGCGCTATTCTCTCAGCAGAGGAGGCCCCTTTGATTACGAAACTGAACTTCACTGGTTCACAGGAGACTCGGAAATGCACGCGTCAATGTTGCATTGCTACCAACGCGGCTCTTTTCAACTGATGACAGGAAACTTCTGCTCAAGGCGCATGCAACTTTAGGTATTACTCCAGAGTAGAACTCAAGTCCCCGCTAGGCACGTGCAGATCAGTACCAAATCAACCGTTGGATATCCAGTCCTGGATATGCCAATAGACACAAGCTACTCGAATGAATACTGGTGATTCACAAAAGTGCACCGCAAAGAGTTTGCAACACATTGTCCATCACAGTGCACAATATCTGCCTACCCACTGCGTGTTTGGAAAGGGCCGACAGATTCCGTGCAGTTTGATTGGTCAACGCGTTGCAGACTCTTGGAGGCGCACTATTGTGAATCGCCCGTATTGTAACAAAGGCATTTCGTACACTGTATTGTCTGATCCGTGAGAATGATTGAGCTGCGATTCTTTGTGGTATCTTTACCTGAATAGGAATGGTCAGCAAGTATTCAATCGTCTGGAACATGTAGAGGACGAACATGGCATCGGTGGACATGTGATTAGTGATCTGACCCATCGTCATCTCGCCCCCTGTTATAGCATAGGTCGACACTCGCAATGCCTTCTCGTACACCATCGTCTGAAGATAAGAGGTTCATCAAATTAGCTGTGTTGTAATGGTCCTAGTGTAACAGGTAGGGCACGGGAGAGCCACAATAGTGCTCGAGTTTTCTTTGAATCATTCTGATTAATTGTCGGTTGGTAATCGAAGCTTTGTTTCACCGCACCTGTAAGGCTGTTCTCACGTCAACACTTTCCATTATCGCCCAGTGGTAATTCGTCTGGAGGCAGAACAGCTTAAGGACGGACACCAAGAATAGCACGGCCACCAAGACAAAGCCATTTGCAAAGTATTCGGTGACTGTGACACTGTGTGGTTCGGGCTGAAAACAGAAAATCCCAAATAAGCTAATAGTTGAATTGAGTGACACAGTAACGGAGCGAAACGTTTTAGGATGAGTGAATTTAGCGTCAATGGAAACGGGCTTGGAAGTCATAAGCACCTGCTTAAAGAGAGGGCTTGCGGTAACACCATAAGCGTCTAGTATTGCTAGCTTACGAGCTCACACTGAAAGGCATGCAAAAAGCCGCGATAGTAGATCTTGATCTAACAGTTTTTACCGTTAAATTTTGTGTTACGTTCATTGATCAGGAAACACCATTGATTGACCTTCTGTCTAACGGGGATTCATGAGAAACTCATACCACAACTGCCTAAACGCCACTGACGTCGAACGATGTACTCAAGGAGACATTGACAAAGAATTATGGTGTTACCATCATATGCCTTCAGCAAGATCAAAGATCTATTCACGAAGGGAGTAGAAATGGAAAGTTTGTTCAAAACTGGCCTTTGTAAAGTGCCAACAACCAGACCGTGCAATACAATTTTGATTATCAACATGAGTAGGAAGTCGTAAGAGCCACTTCCAAGTTCAGTGTCGTAAATCTGGGGTAAATGGGATTAAAAGATTGGTTGGCCTCTGAAATACGAAAAGCGGGCAGGGGGTGGACTCTTCATGACACACTTCAATCCTACATCAAAACGGTGTGTTTAAAAGCTTTTGTACTTCCTCACCCTTTTCATAACTATTAAATACATTTTGTTTTGTTTGGAAATTCTAAATATACCTCAAAATTTACCTTCCCCACCGCAAAAAGTGGGGGATAATTTAGTAGCAAGGGAAATATACCCCCATCTCCCAGGGATTTAAGCCCCTGCTTATGTTATCGGCCTATTAGAAAAATTTCCAATGGCGTGTTGATATTAAACTTGAACCCATGCCAATTTTCATCTAGATGGCAAACTGTTGGCCCATTTGTTGCATACGGATCTGGATTGCGATCAGTGATCCTTACACTGGTTCGCACCATCCATTAGGCGAGTTTTGGTGTCTGTGAACCAACGACGGGTCACTGATCTTGATCCAGATGCGTGTGAAACAAACACGGCCAGTGGGCCATATGTGTGAAAAACCAAGCGAAGAAGTACATTAATTCTGCTCTTTTCTATTGGAATCAGAACTACTCTGAATGTGAGGCCCGACGTGGGATCGGGCCTCACAATAACTATGCAGTCATGATTAGGCCCTACCTGCGGCTCGCCTGACGGATACACGATCTTGATGACGTAGTTCGTGATACCTCCCACGCAAAGCGGGCCCACGAGCCCCAACACATCCGCGATGAATTTCAGGATCAAGGCACCCAGCAAACGCCAGCCGTACACCTTCACGTAAACTTTCAAAAGAGAGGGCGGTTTGCCTTTCCGTCGTGGATTAGCCTGCGGTATAACGGATCAGAATGAATAAGTCAATTTGGTTGTTCCGTCGGGTGCATGCGCCAACTGGCCTTGACGACCCTTTTTTTGGATAAACTAACCATTGCGCTCCATAGCAATGCACATGTTTGCACCTAGTAGTTTTTTTTCGATTTGCCGTTAGTGGCAGGGTTCCCCGTGCCTATTGAACTGTGACGCAGCCCACCTCACTGATTTGAGTAGCCAACTCAGGCTTTTCTGTTGAATTTTACCACCTCACACTTAAAACAGACAAACATGGAAGGAAAACGCAAAAGAACTTGAATTTTTTTGCAACAGATCAGACACAGAACACAAGATCGATCTATTTTTAGAGGGAAAATTTCAAGTAAATGTATTAATAGACTATATAGACTTTAGTTTAGGCCTTGTTGAAAGCATTCGCTTTTGTTTAATTCAGGGACTAGGATTTTGGCGAAATTTTGAGTGACTACCTCACACATATCGGTACCCCAGGCTAGGGAAACCCTGCGTTCTGGTTTGAATTTCTTCAAAAGTAGTAAAAGACGTTCTACGGTGTGCCTGGGCAGTTTTGGGATATATATGAAAGGTGAATAAAGAATCCTCTGTAAAAATTCATGTTAACTGCAGAAAGTTTAAAACAAATTAAACCTCACTCATTTGTACGCCAGGTCTATGCTTTACCGTACCGCTGGCTTCGCCACGTGGGTTTGCTTATCCAATTTCTATCCCACAATTCCTTGTGCGCCCAAAATTCCGATCTGGCTTATTGAAGTAATACTGGCTGATGCCCTGGAACTGGACCAAGAGAGGGCGCTATTTTCTTAGCAACCGGGGCTCCTTTGATAGGAACTGAACTTCGCTGGTTCACAAACGACTGGGAAATGCACGCGTTACGGTCGCAATGCTACCAACAAAATGAGCACTCCCAACCAACGCCGTTCTTTTCAACAGATGATGGGGTGCTTCTGCTCACGTCAACATGACCATACAACCATTAAGTAGCTCTTTTTTGGTGAAAATAAATAGCAACATACACTCCTCCGCACAAAATAAAGCTCCGTTTCAGGTAAGAAGCTTCTGCCATCGGCATGGGAAACTTCCTACTAGAGTGCACATGATCAAGATATGGTTGACATCCATCCAGAATATTGACGTCTATCTACCCAAAAAATTCTGACATAATTTTACTTGAAGCGTTTTCTGCCACTTTTGAATTTGTTTAATCAATCCTACGATGGATTCTTTGACCAAGAAGAAATGTACAAAGAGGCCCAATGGCTTTCAGTAAACGTCATATAGATTGAAATCTTGCATAATATGACAGTTGGACTTTTATGAATTTCAGGCACAAAACAAGACAACAGAACGAAGTCTACTAGATATCTGCCGACAGGCGAAATGTCCCGGCGCGCCTATACCTTCTCTTCCATAACGGCTCGTTTGAAGACCTGGTGGTTGCGGCGGGCCCCGTGCCTCGTCGGTATGTCACCCAGGTCGTCGATATCAAGATGCTTCTTGTAGCCGACGGAGAAGAGCCAGTTGATCCACCAGAAGCTCAGGTAGGAGGCCAGGTTGACATCGTAATTCATGAATCGCATATTTGGGTTCTTCAGATCCTCTCTGAGATCTTCGTTCACGTTGTTTCCGAAGCATTTGAAGACCTGATGTTGGAACAACTTGCCTTTTAGTGAATGCCTTGGGAATAGGCCTAAAAGCTTACTAAAATTGTTGGGGGGAAATGTAATTGTGGTTGATGATAAGAAGAGCCCAACTTAATATGTTTGACCAAAAGTTATTTTTACCGCAATACACAATCATTTCAGAGTGGTTGTGAAATGTAAAGCATGTTGTCGTAGTAAGCAATACGATTGGCTGGTAGTGTAATTATCCATGCCCCAAAGTTCCCACCTTGTCTTGGTCCTAACTGATACCCTCCTGTGATCAAAGACAAAATCTTAAATTTCAAAACCTACCTTGAAAATGATGACGTACACCTCTATAAGAAAAAGTAAACCAAAGCAGACGAGTAAAATCACGGTGATGTCAAATCGCACAACGTTGAAGTCAATCTGGCCTTGATACTCGAGGCTCGCCATGCGTATGCCTTCAGTCCCAGCGGCTGACGCCCAGTAGCTCAGTAAGAGCAGGAGCATAGCCGGGGATTGCCACAGCTCTGTATGATG